AACGAGTGGACCCGGTTGGAGCCCCAACCGGTGCCCAAGACATAACAGCTGGGATGGAAGGGGGAGGGGTTGATTGGATTGTTTAGGCATGGGGTGGAGCCGCATGGGTGTAATTAACGGGCGGTGCTGTTATTATCTGTTAATTAGGGAGAGGGTATAAGAACAGAGTTGAGAGGTGGTTGCTCTCAATGCTGACTTTGAACATATCCTTGTTACTGTTACTACTGTTCGTGATTGGAACCCCTGCATTAAACCTTATTGTATTTCACTGCTTGTGAGTGATGTGGTTTATGGGAAAAGGTATTCAGTGCCTGACAGGCTGTGACAGCTGAACTCATGTATGTTATTCATTTTTTAATGGTGTCGAGTCACCTCGAACTGTGAAAAGGGTGGAAAATAAAACAAAGAAACAAATAAAACAGGAGAAGACAACTTCTGGGCCATATGTGGCTTTGCAGCATTCATGTTGTAGTTCCCCCCTAGTATCCCTGGAATTTTCCACCCCTTAAAATATACAAATAATTTCCCCTTACTTATGGGTGGATCTTCTAATTGAGAAAAGGACAAAATGGATGCCTTAAGGTATCTTTTTTATCCATTTAAATTCCAGTTATTTTTGAAAAACAATCTGAAATAAGTTACCAATCCACTCTAATAATACCATGACATTAAAATATCACTCTCTAAAATAAGATGCTTACTTACAGTTTGATCTTGGCCTCTGTGGCACATGATAAAAATATGATCTAACTGGAATAAGTTGCTTTGTTCCCCTTTTAAGATATAAAGAGGAGGATCTTTTCACTGGATATCAGAGAAGCGGCTGGAAACAACCCTTCTGGAGGGCATTTGGTTGGGTTTGTAGATTGGTTTTGCTATATATTTTGCAATCTGTATTTTACTTTTATTTGATGGTAGATATTTTTTGTATTTGTATCTGCCATCAAAAGCCCTTTAGGATTGCATTTAATAAATTATTTGCTGGTGCTGAATTTCAGAATTTATGGCTTTTCAGATAGTGTGAGAAGATTGAGAGGGAATTTTTAGTGGAATTAACCAGAGAAGACACACTTGTACTTTCTCCTGTGAAACTTTTAGCAATCACCCAGTTGAAAATCTTGTTAAGTTCTAATGCTGGCTGTTCTTGGTTGGAAAAAACAGTATTTCTCTGAACTCAGACATATATGTTTGGCTACAGTCCATTATTATCCTCATTCTTATTGTAACTTACTGCTTTTCTTTGTGGGGTTTTGCAAAAGGTATTTTTTTTGGAGCAAAATAAAACATATGGTATAAATTAAAAGAGCATTCTTCTGTTTGTTATTGTAATCACAGCTATAGGAATTTAGGTGTATCCAATTCATGGCAAAATGCATGATGTTATTAACTGAGAGCTATTCCTTTCCTGATGCAGCCCTATAGATTATGGCTTCTATCTTGTTTTCACATGGAAAATAGGAGGTTTTCCAGGTTGCTTAGGCTGAAGACTGTTAGAGTTGTAGCCTTCTTCTTGCTCCATTGGCATCTCTTTATGCTTATAAATAGACAGGATGGGCACCTGGAAGTGAAAATAACTGCTTTTCTATAAAAACGAAGACACCTCATCCCAGCATAGTTGAAGGCTACATATAATTCTGCTTTAGTAAAAGCATTCATTGAAGAGGGAACTGGCTTGGGGCTCCTACAGATGTGAATTGACTCATCTTATCCTTCAGAGATCATTTATATTCAGCTGATGGAGTAGAAGGAGACTCAGAAAGTATGTTCTTGATAAAGACTTAGTGATTTGAATGCTGTTCTTTCTGGTCTGTCTCTGTTGTTGGTTGCCAAAGGATTGCTTCTATTGTCACCCAGTGTCATCTGTCCCCCCAAAAGGGAGGAGATAGGTCTATCTGTCACTGAACCTTATTGGCTGGTTTACTTTTTATTCTGATCTGAAGGCTGCCCTTTCCCTGAATGACTTTGGTTTTTGAACAGGCTGGTCAGACTCTTTCCCTGCATTTCTTTCTCCAATTTCCCTTGCCCTTTCTCTATGGCTATCTTGGCTTCCTGTTTGTAGAGAACTACAAGAAGGCACTTTTGCTTAACTGTTGTCTCAGGACCAAGAGGATGAGTGCACATAGTACAAGACCAAAAAAGAGCATTTCTTGCACGACACAGGAAGACCTACTTTATAAGTAGAAAAGATGGAGTAAAACTTTTATTGTCAGATCAGTCTCTAGGAATTGGGAATAAAAATGCCTTTTTGGAAGGTGGCATCACTCAATACTACAGTTTTTTTTTAATAGAATAGAATAGAATTCTTTATTGGCCAAGTGTGGCTAGACACACAAGGAATTTGTCTTTGGTGCATATGCTCTCAGTGTACATAAGAAAAAATAAAATACATTCATCAAGAATCATAAGATACAACACATAGTGATAGTCATAGGTTACTAATAAGCAACCAAATCATAATAGGAAACAAAACAATATAAATTGAAAAGATACAGGCAACACGGTTATAGTCATAAGTGGGAAGAGATAGGTAATAAGAGGGATGAGAAGAATAATAGTAATACAGTCTTACTAAGCAGTTTGACAGTTTTGTGGGAATTAGTTGTTTAGCAGAGTGATGGCATTGGGGAAAAAACTATGTCTACCGGTTCTGGTGTGCAGTGCCCTATAGCGTTATTTTGAGGGTAGGAGTTGAAACAATTTTTGTCCAGCATGTGAGGGGTCTGCAGATATTTTCAAAGCCCTCTTTTTGGCTCATGCAGTATACAGGTCCTCAGTGGAAGGCAGATTGGTAGCAATTGTTTTTTTTCTGCAGTTCTAATTATCTGTTGAAGTCTGTGTTTGTCTTGTTTGGTTGCAGAGCCAAACCAGACAGTTACAGTGGTGCAGATAATAGATGCAATAATTCCTCTGTAGAACTGAATCAGCAGCTCTTTGGGCAGTTTGAGCTTTCTGAGTTTGTTGTGCTTTTTTGATGACATTTTTGATATTATGTGTCCATTTTAAGTCCTGAGATATGATAGAACAGTGGTTCCCAACCTTTTTTTCGCCCCGCACCCCTAAAGAAATTTCACTTGAACCTCGCACCCCCTGAAATAAATAATAAATAAAAATACCAACATATAGCCAATATCCTATTATTTACCTGGACTTTTCTCGCACCCCCTGGAATATTGTCTCGCACCCCCAGGTTGGGAACCCCTGTGATAGAATCTAGAAACTTGAAGGATTCTACTGTTGATACTGTGTTGTCTAGCATTGTCAGAGGTGGCAGTATAGGAGGGTTTTTCCTAAAATCTACCACTATTTCTACAGTTTTGCGTTATTTAGTTCAAGATTGTTCTGGTTGCACCACAAGGCTAGTTGTTCAACATGCTGTCTGTATGCATATATTCATGTTTGTCCTGAAGCCAAAGCATTTCCATATTGATTGCACAGCTTTAGGGTTATACCTTGAGACAAATATATGGTTAAAATGACCAAAGAAAAATCAGTATTACCAATAAAGCTCTTTTTCTCAGCCCCACATATATAAATATTCCTATGTCAGATTTATATATAAGTTGTAAAACATAAAAATGTGTGGGAATACACTTACTACTTCAATTTATTAAAGAATAAAGAATTTAAAGAATAATGGAACCTAGTATTTTAGACTTTGTTTAAATATGTTGCCTACATAATTTCTAACATAAAAATTTTCATTATTTTTTTCAACATATAGCTATTCAGATATCCTGATTGAGAGGGAAGTGTTGATGCAAAAATATATCCATCTAGTTCAAATTGTAGAGACAGAAAAGATTTCAGCAAATCAGCTACGTCATCAGCTTGAAGATCAAGACACAGAAATTGAAAGGCTTAAATCAGAGGTATATTTCAAAATTCATTCTTATTGTGCTGCTACTGCTGTCTAATATACAGTCTGACTTCCTTTTCAGTCATTGGCAAAAGTTTCATTAATTAATTTCATTAATTAAAATGAAACTTTGGCTAGGAGTAACACCTCTGAATATGAACCTTTCTATTTTGTCAAGTTTATTAATTATTTTTATTAGTCTTACAATATTGTTTTTGAATGTTGTTTGGAATGGTTTTCTTTTTTTTCTACAATGGATTGCTTTGCTTTTGTCATTCTAACCTGGGCAAGCTAAAACAAAAAACTATCTGTGACAATTTGCTTTAATAACAATTCTGCTTTTTTAGATTCAAATACTGTGAAAATTCATGACTTTCAAATCAAATAGGTGTTGGATTGTATATGTTTTGCATAATGCATATTATTTGGCCTTAACCTGAAAAAATTTTCAGGCACCTTTTCAGGCACCTGAAATAATTTTCAGGTTAATAATTATTCTCATGAGAATAATGTAATAGAAAATTCTACTATGGGTCATTATATCTTGGCAGCTAATGGAACACAAAAGGCATTCCTTTGCCTTTCTGAGTGTTATTTCATATAGTCCTTTTTCCAGAAATTGAAATTTTATAAAACCAGACTTAGACTTAGAATAAGTTTATTGTCACTTTAAATGTACACTAATTGGCACACCGTAAAATGAGATTTCATTGCATACAGTTCTCAAAGGGCTCACCACCACAAAATATATGACATAAAATGACAAAAATTAAATGAATGAATGAACAAATAAATAAATACATGTTACTATGCAAAGTTCCAGGAGCTTGAAATTACATCTTGAAAATTTCATGTGATATTCTGAAATCTGTTGAAAACTTTAAAATTTTACATTTTTGTTTGTTGTTTTTTACTAGATTGTAGCTCTCAATAAAACAAAAGAACGAATGAGACCCTATCAAGGCAATCAAGAAGAAGAAGATCCAGATATTAAAAAGATTAAAAAGGTATTTCTCCACTCCATTTAGATGGAGAAGTGATAACAATATTTCCTATTTTTTCTTTCAATTAAAAGAATATGTGTGTGTGTGTGTGTGTGTGTGTTTGGTTATTAGGGTTTTCTCCTGCGTAAAATTGGAAGTATCTAGGTTATGTTTCGATGAAGTCTCATTCATCATCTTCAGGCTTGTGTCTTCGGCTTTGTGCTTCTCGGAGTAATGTGAGCTTGCAGCTGTTTCTTCCTTTTAACTGCTAGTGGGGGTGTGACTTGATTGGGTGGGGGTTGGCTGTGTTCTGATTGGCTGGGTGTGTATTCTATTCAGGTGGGGGCTTGGTTGTCATTCTTCATGTTAGGACACCAGACCCACACCCATGAAGGCACACAAGATGCTACCACCACACTTCCACATAGAAAGCAGACTCACACAGATGATGAGACACGACCACGGACCAGAAGCCATACTGCAGCTGCATTACCCGCTTCAAACCCCTCCAACCCATACATGAAGTGAACAGATGCCCACCATGAAGATGTGGCATGACCATGAACGCTAAGCCAAACAACAGGATCACAGCTCACCAGCTCAAATCCCCTGGCAACTAAGACTAACCTGACCACAACCAAGCCCCCACCTGAATAGAACACACCCCCAGCCAATCAGAACACAGCCAACCCCCCCAACCAATCAGAACACAGCCAAATCCCCAACCAATGAGAACACACCCCCATCCAATCAGAACACAGCCAAGCCCCCACCCAATCAAGTCACACCCCCACGAGCAGTTAAAAGGAAGAAGCAGCTGCAAGCTCACATTACTCCGAGAAGCACAAAGCTGAAGACACAAGCCTGAAGATGATGAATGAGACTTCATCAAAACATCGCCTAGATACTTCCAATTTTATGCAGGAGAAAACCTGAATAACCAAAGATCCACATACAAATACCCGCGAAAACCTCAGAATATATATATATTTTCTTATATGTATCCGGGTATTCATTCATATGTATCCGGGTATTCATAACTATGTTTTTACTTATACCTATTATCTTGTAAACAATTGACAAAAATAAATAAATGAATAAAAAATAAAATATTCATTTGAATCAAGCAGCATAACCAGTGGTGGGATTAAAATAATTTAACAACCAGTTCTCTGCCCTAATGATTTCTTCCAACAATCAGTTCACCAAACTGCTCAGAAAGTAAACAACTGGTCCTCCTGAAGTGGTGCACGCTGGCTGAATTCCACCACTGAGCATAACATTTAGTAAAGCGTTCCAGAAGAGCTAATTATCTTGATGAACTTTTTGGTGAAAGAGACAGTGATGTTAATAAGGTCGACATGGCTTAAAATTCATGTATCAAAGTACTCTATGAAAACAATTATAAAGAAAAAATTTCCAACTACTGCAATTTAAAGCTTTTGAATGTAAGGTATCACTAAAAAAAGAAGTTTGAGATGAACATCTTTTAAGGGGAGGTCCTTAATAGTTGCAATTCTGATGCTGGAGGGAAAAGAGAAAAAATGGAAGAGAAATTTATATAGCCAACAATGCATTGTTATCAAAGTATTCTATAAACATATAATTATGGATAATAATGATACTTAAAACAATAGGTCCTATTATTACCATTTTTCCTTTTACATTAGGGTTATATATTTCATGGCATTTTGACACATGCATTGGATAGAAAATGCACTACCACTTTGACTATTTAAAACTGCTTAGTCATAAATAATGGCATTAGGTGTGCCAATTATTATTTATTGCATGTATTTATACCTTGTCTTCTCTGGGAACTCAGGGCAGCATGCATGAATCAATTCACTTCTTCTTTTATTCCTAAAGTGTCCAACATCCTTGGGAAGTAGGTTGGCATCAGAGAATGATTTGTCCAGAGTCAACAACTAAACACTAGGATATTGAATATGAGTCGTTCTAGTTGACATCCATCAACTTAACTGTTATGCCACATTAGTTCCTCTACAGTTAATTTTCATTTAAATCAATACAATTTATTGTATAGACCTAAGGGAACGTTTCCTTTCCAGTTGTTTTTAAATGTGAGATGTTGGTAAAAATAGAATACATTAAGTAGAAGCCTATGCAGAGTTGAATTGAATGTTCAAGTGTTCTAAAATGCACATAAACTCATTAAAATAGATGCAACCTTACCCCAGAAACAAGCATGGCTATTTTAATAAGCTGCAGATTAGTTCTGTGTTCACTTTCCCTCGTGTTCCATTACATATTCTCAAAAGCAAATGTGAACAATGGCTATTTGAATTTGCTTAATTTAGTTCTGTTATTTAGATGTGAGTCTCATAAATATATTTTTGTTGTACTAATTCTTCTACATAGTCTCCATTTTCTGAGCCAATCTATAATGCAAAATATTCTAAGATCAGCTAAACTATTCTGGTCTTTCTAAGCATGCTCTAAAATAAGACGTAGAAGACTAATTGTCATTTTATATTTACTAACTGCAGACATGCTTGCCTTCCTTTCCTGAGACACTGATATATCAATACATCTATTTGAATGGGATATATATAGTTTTCAAAGACCATTAAAATTTTTTTTTAATCAGATCAGTATGAAGTAGTTTCTTTGAAGGTGGCCAAATTATGTTATATTGTCTATAAAATTAGGCAAACTTTAACTTCCCACTGTTAATCCAGTACCAATCACAGTATTTTATGTCTTTATTTTTTACTATTATTGTTGTTTTTACAGCTTTTATTTGTAATGCTGGTCTGTGACCGTAATAAAAACTGATTTTTTAAAAAAATTCACTCTCTAGGTACAGAGTTTTATGCGTGGTTGGTTGTGTAGAAGAAAATGGAAGACAATTGTCCAAGATTATATTTGTTCGCCACATGCAGAAAGTATGCGAAAAAGAAACCAGATAGTTTTCAATATGGTTGAGGCAGAATCTGAATATGTGCATCAACTTTATATCCTTGTGAATTGTTTTCTAAGGCCCTTAAGAATGGCTGCAAGTTCAAAGAAACCACCTATTAGTCATGATGATGTTAGCAGCATCTTCCTCAACAGGTATTATTGGATACATTTTTAAAAACTCATTCCAATATGATTGCATGAAATAGTTTTCTGTCTGTTTTGATTTATAGTATTAAAAATCTGTAGAATGTGTAGAACATGTTTGCATTTAATTTTTAGAATTTTGAAATTGAAAGCTCTTACTTCCTTTCTCTTTGGGTGGCAGGGGAAGACTAAATGAATTCCAGTTTTTCCACCCCTAATTGCGGGGGCTTCATTGGGACGTATGGAAAACTAATTTATGTTGATATTTTCAACATTAAATTGAATAACATATAGCTTTGGATATTATAAAACTAGTGACAGGTAATCCCAAATGGCTGAATCAATGTCAAATGGTACATCTATGGACTCTTTGATGTCCTTGCAATCATAACAGTTAGGATAGAAGGTGCAAGAAAGGTGCTGGGCTACTCAGCCTAGCAAATCTAGGCATTTTAGTTTTACTTTCAGCTCTTTATAGATAACTTAGGTATGGGGTGTTTTGTGTAGCTGATGTGTGTGTATTAGCAACATTCAAGCGATCAGATTGGTTTAGAATTTAATGGGTCCAAATTGTCACTTTCCACTCATAGAATTTGGGGATGTTCTGCCTGCCACTATTAAAAGAGCTACAGATGCTACTTAATAATCATCCTCATTTTGTGCCTAAACTAGAACTCTTGTTGATTCTGTTTATGATTGATATATTTAACCTTTTTTCTTTAATAAACTGCCCAGAGTTAATGTCTGAATAAATTATTTAAATAAATATAGTTAAATAAAAATATAATTTATTATTTCAAAACTATGAAAAATGCTGCTCTGTAATTTTATTTATTTTTAAAATTCTAATGCACTGCATCCCAAAAGGTTTTGGAGTGGCAGTGCTTATTCAGCTATCCTGTTTTAATAATCATTATATGTGCTGATAATTTTAAATAATATTTTACACAGAGATTTTTAATTTTTGTTTTATTTTGTCAACTCTTATTTCTCTCTAGTGAAACTATAATGTTCCTTCATGAAATATTTCATCAAGGATTAAAAGCAAGAATAGCAAACTGGCCTACCTTAATTTTAGGTAACTTTGTGTGTTGGTTTCTGTGTTTAAAGAGTAGCATTACATTTTTTATTTGAAAGTTAAGATTTTTTTAGTTTCCTTACAGTAAGTTGCTTTATTTTTTATTTAGCCTGTTAAATAAATTTAGAAACTTACAATATCCACCTGTGTATTCTTTGTTCCAAAAGGAGTAACTATATTAGGAAGCTGCACTGTATTTCATTACTGTTATATAGTTTACAGCTGTTTTTTTTCTTCAGTCAGAAATTTTGTTTTTTAAAATAACTGTTACAGTGGCAGAAATAAGAATGATTTTTCTACCATTTGAAGTTCTGTCCTAGCATGAAATATACTTCCAAAGAGCTTTCAGGTTAAATTTTATTAATATATAGATGAAACTGTATTGATCACTTAATGTTCTCAGAAGAACTGAGCAGTCAAATTGTAACAGTAGTAGGGGAAACTTTAATAAAGATGTCTTCCTTTTAATTATACAATGCTACAAATGGTATTAATGTGGTTTAGACTTTTTATTTTTATGAAGGAAAAGGAATGACTGCAAAAATCAACTATCTTTTTGTCTTTATAGCTGACTTATTTGATATTCTTTTACCGATGCTGAATATATATCAAGAATTTGTTAGAAATCACCAGTATAGCCTACAGGTGCTGGCAAACTGCAAGCAGAACAGAGATTTTGACAAACTCTTAAAGCAATATGAATCCAACACTGCATGTGAGGGCAGAATGCTTGAAACATTTCTTACGTACCCCATGTTTCAGGTAATTTTATTGCTTCCATCATTTTATTATCATCCTCATGACTTTTGCTGTCAAATAATCTTTCCCAAATGATGTTGTTAGAAAGAGTGGCTAACCTGCACTCACTAAACTGAAGAAAATTGCTATAGAATAAGTCTTTTTATTTTGTTCAATTGAGAGAAATTCTGTATTACAATCTTTTGTATTGGTCAGATATTACATAGGCATTAGTATTTTGTTGTTTATTATTTTTCGGTCATAATTTTGCAGTAATGCATTTTTGCATTATAGTTAGTTTTCATCTATGAAAATTGAAATATTTGGGAGGATATTGCCAAATGGCACTATCAAACTGCAGGAATAATACTCAAGCACATATAAGTGTGCATGGAAGTCACAATCTTCTTAGAGAATAAAGACTGCATCAGCTAAGTATGCTGTTGATGCCATAGTACTCTGTTTAAAAAGGATTGTTAAGCTCAAATAATAGAAATAGGCAAACTGGTCCTGGACAGCATCCTGGTTTACTGAAAAGCTTTCAAAATATTTCTGCTGATATACTGTGCCCATTGCAGTGTCCATTTAGAAGTTGCTGTAGCTTTCTGCAGCTACAGATTACTCTTCAAAATAATAATACTTCAAATAATTATATGGCAGCTACTGTTATTAGCTCATGAAAAATCTGCTGCCAAAGTCCTAGTGCGGGATTTAAGACTAACAGCTGTCAAATAATCACTTAGGAGGAGAAAAATAAAGGTTCATTTTGGTGAAAACAGCTGGGATGGAGGGAGTTCATCCCTGTCAGGAAAACCTGTCACTACAATTTCATTGGGGAATAGCCTTCCTTCCCCCCCCCACAGCAATTTAAGTGAAGCATCCTTTATTTTTCTATGTGACAGCTGCCCTCAGAATAGTTAATGAAAGCAGCAACTCCCCTAAAGCAGCTTATTAGAGCTTTAATAGCTGCTCTGATACTCCACACATATCTGAAGCCAGGTCAAAGATTAAAGATTAATCTGTTTCACTTTGGATGACTTTGGGGGAAAAAACTGATTCAATTTAAGATTGAGCTAGCCTCAAAAACAGATGCACACTATATTCATATTACTCTCACTGAATTGGCATTGCTATTTTAAGTAATTTTTTCAACTCTGAAGACTCCTGTACTGAGCCAAGGATTCAGTGGCCTCAATGACCCCTTCAAGCTCCATAGTTCTGGGACTGATTTCTGAAATAGGAAATGCAATTTTTTTTAGATTGTATTAACTGTAAGGAGATCCAAGATGGAAAACATATCATGTTATAATTAATTATATATTTAGAATGCATCACTGACCAATATTTTCAATCCTTTAGATTCCTAGATATATTATCACCCTTCATGAACTTCTAGCTCATACACCACACGAACATGTGGAAAGGAAAAGCCTTGAGTTTGCTAAATCTAAACTGGAAGAACTTTCAAGGTTTGATTGCTTTTTGTTCTCAATATATAAATCCAGAACAGAAGTGTAATATGGACAATTAGATAATAGTTTTTAAAATTGCACTTGCATATATATATAAATCCCATTGGTGTTGAATCCCATTGGAGACTAGTCCGGGTTAAAAATTCTACAAAACAGCACTCTTAATAACTCTTCATATACTAACTGACCTTCTGGGAGGAGAATATCTGAAAGTGAAGGGGCTGCAATGGAGAAATGCTGTTGCCATTCCCTTGAATATCTCAAATAGGAGGAACTTTAAATATTAGCTTATAGAAAACTTACAGGGCAGATTGGGTTTTCTCCAAAGTGGCAGTTCTGGAGAGACCTGGGAGCCAATTCATGGAGGCTTGATAGAGTCAATTAGCACTTAAAACGTACCCAACTCCTATCAGAAACCAATGCAGACCTACAGACCTAATGAAGTATAATTATATGATTTTTACCCATTGAGACTTACATTTTTCACTAATAGTACTGTAGTTTCCAAGTAGTCCCCAAAAGCTCATGTCACATGCATAAAACATTGTAGTAATCCAGCTTACAACCTCCAATAATTAAAATCAGATGGTTTTTGAAAAAACTTAGCTTTCCCAGCATTCAATTTAAATTAATTTTATTACATCCATATACACACAGATCAATATCTCCATCTTAATCTGGAACTGTATAATTTAGTGTCTTCAATATATTTAAGATACTTCATCCTGACTAATGGATATTCTCTTCTGGCAATTTCAGATAAATAATGAAAAGCAGGGGGGATACCATAACAGAACATCCATTATTTTGATCTCTGATCTTGTCCCTGTCTGGAATGGCCCACTTAGGATGGAGTAGAAACTTGGCAAATAATTTTCTCTGAACCTTGTAGGTAGCCCAGAAGCATACCATGGTATTGTATACCACCAAGAAAAAGTAACGGGAGGGCTGCATTACTCTCCAAGTCAGCTCTACAAGATGGATCAGTGCAAATTTCATCCTGTTCCCAGGTCTAACCAAACTAAAAGGGGTTCAAGTAATTTTCTTTTTCTGGGATATGTTGAGACTGACATGTCACTTCCTTGCCAATTACTTTACCCCTAAACAGAAAGGTGGACACAAGATGAAGGTTGAGCAACAGTTTGGGGGACAGATTATTTTATCTATTTTTCTGCAACTATGGTAGAGGAGGGTAACTTTAAAGTGGACCATGACGGTATATTCCATCAATGCAGTAAGAGCAGCAGTTGCTAAAGCTTTGATCCTTTTACTGTCAATGAGTAGAGTTGAATGTGAGCTTTTACAGGTATTTAGTCAGATTTATTAGGATCTTCTTCCACTGGCATGCCAGGCATTTATCTACCATTTCATCTCCATGACCTTTTAAGTAAAACAAAGAGCTCCACAGGAGTGGCAAATAGTAAGAGGCTACTGAGGACAATCGCATGAACGATCCTGGTTGCCTCTGAATTCCAGATCTAAAAGTAGCACTTCATGGAACTATCTGCCAGATTGCTGAAAAAATTGAAAGGTACCTACTGGAATCTACCTGGATCCAAAAGGTACCTGGACATGCTGCCTTAATCAGGCCCCTTATTTGTGAAAATCACAGGATATGACTGGGAGGGGCTAAACAGAAAATGATCTGACCATGACAAAATTAGAGTGTCATATTTTTTTCAAATAACAAGCCAAGTGTTTTGAGTTGGGAACAAAATCTAATGTTTGATTTAAACTTCACATTGCCTGGGATTTGCCCATAATTGCAAAAGAGATCACGACCTAAACTTTCTCAAACATCTGCCCCTAGGTGTGGATGCTAAAAATCCACCATTTTCAGAATTGCCAATTCTTGTATATCAGCCCTACGAGGTAGATCAGATCAAGAGACAGATGCTGTGTAAAATAACTGTAGTAACAGAAACTAGCAAGTTTCTGAATGTGCATCCTCTTCTCTCTCTTTTATCTTCATGTGAATTGGTGGGGAGGCACCTGCTTTAGGCATTTTCATAAATCTTTATCTTTTTATGGGCTTAAGCCATATGTATCTGTTTGTTGCCTTGGTAACAGATCTCTGATCTCTCACAGTCTCTGTCAAAGCCATTTTCTATGCTCTTTATATTATCATGCTTAATTGTATTGCTTTTTTACATTTATCATTTATTAATTTATTGTTTGTTGATTGTATACTATCCAGGGTTGCAATTTTTAGGCTGAAGGTTCTGAAGAACTTCCCTATAACATCTGCCATATATTTTTTGCTCTCTCACACTGGTGATCTGTCTATCCATCTCTCCCTGAAAGAACCCCAGCCCTCAAATTCCCCACAGCTTAAAGCATGTTCTAGAGAGCATAAGAACCTAAAAAATATTTCCATCTACCCAATTATTTTTTTTAGTATTTATTTGATTTGTCAATCGCTTACAAGATACAGGTATAATTCAAATATAGTTTTGAATACATGAGATAGATACTTATAAGAAAAATAAAAAACAATAGGACAGGGACGGTAGGCACAATTGGTGTGCTTATGCACGCCCCCTACAGGCCTCTTAGGAAGGGGGTGAAGTCAATAGTAGACAGTCTAAGGTTAAAGTTTTGGGGGTTTGGGGAAGAAACCACAGAGTCAGGCAGAGTATTCCAAACACTGACCACTCTGTTGCTGAAGTCGTGTTTTCTGCAGTCAAGTTTGGTGCGGTTAACTTTGAGTTTGTATCTATTGTGTGCTCTTGTATTGTTATGATTGAAGCTGAAGTATTCATTTGCAGGTAGGACATTACAATGTATGATTTTATATACTATATTTAGATTGGACTGGAGGTGGCTTAGTTCTAGGTTTTCTAGGTCTAGAGTTTCAAGTCTGGTGGCATAAGGTATTCTGCTATGAGTAGAGGAGCGAAGAACTCTTCTTGGGAAATATTTCTGGACTTTTTCAGTTGTGTTAATATCAGATACATGATATGGGTTCCAGACTGATGAGCTGTATTCAAGTATAGATCTAGCAAATGTTATGTATGCTCTAGTTAGTAGTGTGATATTGCCAGAGAAGAAGCTATGTAGGATTAGATTAACAACTCTTAATGCCTTTTTGGCTATGTAGTTACAGTGGGCTCTAGCACTTAGATCATTAGAGATGAGTACTCCAAGGTCCTTGACAAAGTTTGGATCCTCAACAAGGTCTTGACTATTTAGCTTGTATTTTATTATCTGATTTTTTTTTCTGCCAATATGTAAGAGAGAGCATTTATTTGTTGAGATTTGAAGTTGCCATTTGATTGACCATTCTGATACATAGTCAAGGTCTTTTTGGAGGGTAGTAGTATTGTCTGAATAGCTTTACATCATTAGCGAAGAGAATGCAGTTGCTCTTAATATGATCACAGAGGTCATTTATGTAGAGTATGAATAGAGTTGGTCCTAAAATACTGCCTTGGGCGACACCACTGTTGACAGGTACAGAATTTGATATGATGCTCCCAATTTTGACCATTTGTTGTCTGTTTGACAGGAATGCTTCTATCCAGTTATGTAGGTGTCCAGAGATACCATAAGATTTTAGTTTTAGTAGTAGTTTGTCATGTACCACTGAATCCAAGGCTTTACAGAAGTCTATGTAGATTGCGTCTATTGCTTTGCCCTGATCAAGTTATGTAGTCCATATGTTTTTGCAGTGTAAGAGTTGCAGATTACAGGATAGTTTTTTTTCTGTAACCAAATTGTTTATTTAAGAGGAGGTTGTTTGTCTCTAAGTGGAGGATAATGGATTGGTTAATAATTGATTCCATGACTTTACAGGTGACTCAGCATAAGGAGATTGGTCTGTAATTTTCAACTAGGCTGGGGTCTCCCTTTTTGAAGATGGGGGTGACTTTGGCTTGTGACCATAGTTTTGGCAAGGAGATGGTCCTGAAAGATTTTTCAAAGATTATGCTTAGAGGTTCGGCTATGGCAGTGGATAGCTTTTTTAAGAAGTAGGCACATATTCCATCTGGTCCAATAGATAGGGATGGTTTTAGATTGTGCAGTGCTTTTTCAACAATGTCTTCTGTAAAATTGATATGTATTAGATCATTGTAGTTGTCTGTGGTTCAACTAGGAAGTATTGGGCTTGATCCATTGCTGATTACAAATACTGAGCCAAAGAATGTGTTAAAGAGGTTTGCTTTGATGGTGTCGTCGTTGCAGTCTTTACCATTAGGTCCTTTCAGGGGTGGGATGGACCTTGAGTCTTTTAGTTTGTTGTTTACAAAATTGTAGACAGCACGTGTGGAATTTGTGTGTAGGTTTTCCTCTTGTTTAATGTGATAATTAGAGCATTCAGTTTTTATCTGGTGGCATAGATTTTTGTATCGGCTTTTGAAGTTGGCAACCTGACCAGATTTGTTTTTTCATCAAAGTGATCTCTTTTTGGATTGAAGCTTCCTTATTGTTATGGGTAATCTGTTTTTCCTGGTTTTGGGAGTTGTTATTGGTACATATAGTTTGATGGCTCTTTTGATTTCTAGTAAGAATATGTTGTAATGGTCTTTAACAATATTGCATCCAGTGAGTAGAAATTGCCAATCAAGGGAAGAGAGATCGTTGATTGTAAGATCATAGCTGCCTTTTTTGAAGTTATAATTGGGGATTCCATCATTGTGATGATTTTTGTGTGGACATATGTTGAGACAATAGTCAATCATATTGTGGTCACTGTTGGAAAAGGGGTCTTTAATTTGTATTCCATAAATTGAATTCAAACTATTGCAGAATATGAGATCGAGGCAGTTGTTAAGCCTAGTATTGTTGGTTACTAGTTGTTCCAGTCGCAGATTTGTTACAGCATTGTAGAAGGTTGCATGTATGGGTTCAGTTGTACATTCGTTTAGGGTCCAGTTAATATGAGGTAGATTGAAGTTACCAAGAAAGATAAAAGCATGTGGGCAGGATGCTGCCCATGTTAGTCATGTATTTAGCTTGTTTACAAGTTTGATGTCATAATCAGGGGCTCTGTAACATAGTAAGAACCGAAATGTGATATTTAAGGTCAGTGGACAGATATCTGACCAAACGTATTCTTATAAGTGAACAATTTGGAGGACTGTTTAGTGAGAGATACCCTTCCTCCCATGTTGGTATAATAAATGAAAAATATGTTTTAAATTGTTCCCCAGTTTGGGGAATTTTTTAAGGGAAGTTCCAAAATAAAATAGCTTTAAAAACAGGAACAGCAATTGCTAATGAAAGAGGCAATTAACTATTCAGTGTATTAGTATGGAGGAGATCCTGATATATTAGGGGAAATGATAGACAAACTTTATCAAGGATAGCATTCCACTTTGATCAAACAAATATCAGTTATGATGCACATAGAAAGTCTTATGATGGCCATAAAGTTCACCCAAGCTATTCTTGCTTTAAAAATTCATTACTGGATAATTGATTTTTTGGTCTCTCATTTGCAATAGAATAATGCATGATGAAGTGAGTGATACAGAAAATATACGGAAAAATCTTGCAATAGAAAGAATGATAGTAGAAGGCTGTGACATATTATTGGACACCAGCCAGACTTTTATACGACAAGGTAAGACCAATGAATTTAACATGCATGTATTGATTATGCAGTTATAGAATATAAAGGAAAAATGAAATTGAAAACAATAGAATTCATGTTGGCATCACTGGGAAGTATAAGATGCAAAATATCTGTTTTTGACATCTGCACATCTATATATTTGTAATTTCCGGGCTGCTGTTGAGCCCTACCTCTGTGCTGTTTTTTTTCCAGGAGACATGAAAAACAGCACTATAATAATAAAGCACCCATGGGAAAGTCACATACACAATAACCGGACTATCATCTTCAGTGGACCAGAAATTATCTCCAGCACCATGGAAAATAGTTCTGTCTGGCCGATAGATGTTGCAATCCCAAATGATGCCAACATTCGGGCAAAAGCACAGGAGAAACTTGAAGTACTTGAAGCTTTGTCAAATGGTGGAGCGATTGTGAGGAATGAAAATAGCTGTTTGTTGTTCCCATTTTTCATTTGTACTTCTAGAACAGCTCACACAGATATAATTTGATTTATTTTTAAATTAAAATCATTTACATTGGTGGATTTTTAAAATCACAGTGTGAATTATCTGCTGATATGCTTAAATTCTGCCTTGGAAGACTTATCTGTAGTCCTTGTAGAAGCTAACCAAATGTTTGAGAACATTATTTACATAACTGGTGTGAACTGCTATCATATATGCTAATTGTGTACATCTCCAAACTCTAATTCTGTTCATATAAAGAAGTGGTAGTAGAAGTATAAAAAATGGGTAGAATCCTTTAATGAATTATAAGGCAACTTTAAGCAGAAAATAGAACAGAAATACTAGAGGAAGATGTTTCTGGCTGGCTGAAATCATGGAGAGGAGCAATCACTGTAACTTGTTTATTGCACATCCCATTTGTGCTATAGAAAATGCTGAAGCAATGTATAGTTGCTTTGTGTTTGTACTTTATAGAATAAAATGATGGCCACCGTCTAATGGTTTGCTTTAAGAGACCCCAAGGCTATTTGTTCATCTCTAATGGAATGTTTTCTTTGAAAAACAGATTCCAACACTGGATATAATCTGTTGATTTAATATCTCCACATTCCTAAGGAGTTCATTGTTTGTGAGGTTGGCAGTGGAGATAATGTTTAAATTGTCTAGCAGGAAATGCATTGCAGAACAATTCAAATAGAAAATTTTATAGATATATTTGATCAGATTCTTTTTTTGCCAAAGAGAATTTCTACAGAAAGCTAATACAGTTTTTCAAATTTATATCAAAATTCCAGATAATTGTCGTAGAAAAAAAATTCTCCAAACAGTAGTATAGAAAATAGTTTTAGATTAATATGTTGTGCTATGGAATACAGGAAAGGAGGAAAATAAATACAAGAAAAGAAGAGATTTTTTATTGATACTGTGAATGACTGGAAGAATTTTAGACATCTAAAATTTGATGTTAAGGTGCCAGTGTTTTAAATAATATTGTTTCCATACACATAACTTCTAAATGTTAGTATTAAAAAAAAATCTTCAAATCAGTGTCTTCCTTGTGTTTTCTGTCCATGATTTGAAAATGAAATAGCTATAAAACAGAAAAGTTTGAATCATGGCACTGGTGTAAAAGAGTTTTATACTAGTATTTAGTATTAGGATTCATTCACTTATTCTTAATATTTTTATGATGAGGACTTTCATTTATGAAGTGTGGAGGAGGAACTTGTTCTTCAAGATGAATAACTAATATAAATAAAATAATTCTAATCAAATGCCAATTTGCAGGTTTTATCTTGTCATATTATTAAGATTTTCCTTGCAGAATTTTTTTAGTGTTTGTTAGTGATCTATATAAATAACTTTTAAAACTTCCAAGGTTTATTACAAAGCATCCTTATCATATGTATGCCTACTCAGTTTTGGATGACTGTATTCTTGGGAAATATTTCTGACAGTGTGGAATTCAATAAGTGTATTGATGACTTCTTGATCTTTTTTATGTTGTGAGGGGATCACGCTTGAAATATCAAAACTAAAAAATTGTTTTGTTGTATATAGACTCCAAAAAGGCAAGTGAATTTTATTAATGTTAAATCACTAATCATGGGTAATCATAGAACTATGTTAATATATATGAATCTTAATGCTGTGTATTAATCATATTAAATTTTGGTGTATTAATATGTATTCAATGCCAGTTTACGTTTGTGTCTATGCATGTACAAACAATATATGGTTCATCACATAGACAGCCAGATCTTCAAGATTGGATTTGGTATTTTTGTCCACCTATTGGGTTCTTCCAGAGGATCCAGAATAGGCACATATGGTTGTTTACAGATATCATCGCAGGATGTAAACTGTTCCAAGTAAGGCTGCCTTTTGCAATTGACTGATGGTGAATTTGTCAATGCTGATGGTGTTTAAAGTGGTGCCCCATTTGTTTTGGGATTGTATCCAAGGCACCTATTACTACTATTTCTACCTTTTTTTTTTTGCTGTGGTCATTTTATTTATATTTGCATATGTTTGTGTTTTGTTTTTTTTCTCCAATTCTTTCTCTTCTATTCTGCTGTATCCAGGTATTGCCACATCCACTATCCAGACTTTTTTGTCTTTCTTATCGACAATTGTTAAGTCTCGGGTGATATGTGGATGGTGCCTGTTTGTCTGAATTCTGAAGTCCCATAGCACTTTAGCTTCTTTATTTTCTATTACTTTGTCTATTTTATGGCCCACCAGTTCTTTCTTGCAGGCAGGTAGTATTTCTTGCAAATCTTCCAATGAACCATTGTTGTTACTTTGTCATGCCGTTGTTTGAAGTCAATATGGACAATCTTCTTGCAGCAGCTAACCAGGTGATCCACTTTTTCTTCAGCTTCTTTGTAAAGGCAGCACTTGGTTTTGTATGCATTTGTTCTTAAGGCTTGGTCATGTACATCTAGAATTAACTCCTTTGTCACTTTATTCAACTTTCTGGATCATCTTGTTATTATCTGTTTTCCTTGCTATTTTTTTTAATGTACTGGCCATATAATGCTTTGTTTTCCCATGCATCTTTTCTGTTCTGCATTTGGCCTTTCTTGTAAGCCAGTTTGGTCTCTCCCGCACTCAGTAGGCCTTCCTGGTATATTAGCTTCAGTGCATCTTTTTCATTATCCTTCAGATATTCTTCCAATGCCCTTTTTTTTTCTTCAACCATCTGATGTATTTGCAACATTCCATGCCTACCTATTTTCCTTGGTAAGTAGAGTCTGTCAACATAGCTGCATGGTTGAAGTACATGATTCATTGTCATCGTTTTTTAATAAATTTCCAGGGTTTTATTACAAAGCATCCTTATCCAGATCTATATCTACTCAATTTTGGATAACTGTGTTCTTGGGAATTATTTTAGACAGCATGGAATTAAATACGTTTATTGATGATGTCTTGATTTTTAAAGCTAAAAATGCTCTGTTGTACATAGATAGGAAATTGAATTTTATTAACATTAAGTCATTAATTGTGGGTAATCCTTATAGAGCTATGCATATTACTCTTAATGCTGCGTGTTAATTATATTATAGTATATTAATATGTATTCACTGCCTATTTGCTTTTGTGCCTATGCATTTTCACACAATATATTATAATTATTATTGTTGTAATCCCAAATCAATCCAGAACAGGAAGATTTCTTCATTAAAGGTTATGGACTAGAATCTACTACATTCATCAAATGTGGGTTGGTAAATAATTTTTTTTGACTTCCTAGTCTGGGAGACACAAAGTCACCCAAATGGTTTCTGTGACTAAGGGAAAACTAGAATCTGGATCTCCCAACTGCTAGTCCAGCACCTTAACTATTAAACTATACTGTGATTTCTGTTATTTTCCTTTTCCCTCTCTTTCTCTCTCATACACAAACACAATATTTTGGAAAGTATCAAAATATGTTTATATGGAATCAAGTTTCATTAAGGACCTCATTTAAATGGGGTTCATGAAAAAGATTTTGAGGGACCTATTCCTCTGAATTTTATTGTTACATGGAGTCTTCTTTAAAAGATCACTTTGTTTTTTGCAACCTATTGCATAGAAATAACATATTTTTACATTTTGGGGTCCACATTAAAATACTTTCATAATTGGTTTCATATGAATGTATTTGTCGGGATCCAGCATCTTGTTTAAATAGATCCCACAAAGTTGTGTATTGTCTTGATTGAGATTGATTTATTTGTCTGAAAATATGAAATTCAATAAACTATAATATAGCAAAATTGCATTTAGTGTATTGTGTTACTCATATTGACTCATATTTTTAGAGTTCTGTGTTGTTACCAAAAATTCTCACAGCCACTTAGAAAAGTAAATCCTACAATACTCGTAATTCAAGTTTGTGTTTGCTTTCTGTATTTAAAAGAATATCTGAGTGCTACATACTTAAAAGAATGCTATTTCCAATTTTAAGTAAACCTAATTACCTTGGATGAAAGGGCTGCAAACTTCAGTTGAATTTACATTACAGTAAATGAATATGCTAAGTATGTAATTTAACTTTATCTCAAGTATATTTTAATATCAGTGTTTTCATTTAATCTCATATAAGGATTATGTCTTTGCATTTATTTAATATTTTAAAGATAGGTTTTCAGTAACATAAGCTATGTTTTTTATTCTTGGTTTGTTGAACAAACAATAATAGTCCTGCTTATCCATTAGAATAATCCATGAAAGGGTGTATCTCTAAACCCAAGCAAACCACATTTTGAAGATCCTTGATTCAGGATGTGAATGTAGAGATAGAGTGTCTTAGATTGGGGAGGCCTGGGTTTTAATCTTCAATTAATCCTGAACTTTGCATAATGCCTGGAATGAATCTGTCTTTGCACATAATCAAATTATCCTTTTTATAGCATTGTGACAATAAATTGGGATTAATGTTTATACTTCTTTAGCTATCCATCCTCTTTTTTATTTAAGTTTGTTTCATGTTTAAATATAAAATGTTGTATCAGTCTACAAAATGAATATAACATTACAAATTATGTAACACAATTATAAAACCAAAACACAACGATTTCCAGGTAGTAGAGTATGTAGCAGAAACCATTAAACTCTGAAAATAAAAAAATGCAATGTAATACAGAATTAAGGAAAAGACTAGTAAGTGTGCATCCAATTATATGCACAATATTTTACCCTAACCTTATAATATATACTTAAATATTGAAGAATGAAATGCATTGATAGATTTCTATTTGGAAATCCAGTTTTTTTCTTCTTCTGTTCTGTTTTTGCTTCTATTGCTGGTTAAACCTGTGATTTAAAAACCTTTTAGAAATATATAAAAGAAATATGTATTAATTATTCACAGTGTGTTAGCACTCTTTTAATATGCTGCTCTCCAAATATATTGGCATTACAACTTTCAGAATACTCAGCCACTATTAGCTGTTTGAGGATGCTTAGAGAAGAGTATATTATGTTTTTTCTCCTTCCATTGTTTGGTAAATTTATATTGTCCTTAGCAAAAGACAATGTAAGTTTTGTCACTGGACCTTGGGTCTCATGTCATAGTTATATATAATGAATATACAATCTTGTGCATTATTACATTTGATAACTTACATTGATTTCATGATTGAAGCCAAATATTTTATGAAAATAAGATTTAAATGGTCATCTAAATTTGTCATTAATTGGCTACAGATATATGACACTCTATTGTAAACTATAAAAAATAAAAATTATGTGCATTATATGTTTACAGAGTACTATTTGTTTTTCTACTTACCAGGAACTCTTATTCAAGTCCCATCAGTTGAGAGGGGAAAACTTAGTAAAGTTCGCCTGGGATCATTGTCTTTGAAAAAAGAAGGAGAAAGGCAATGTTTTCTATTTACAAAGCACTTTTTAATTTGTACAAGGAGCTCTGGAGGAAAGTTGCATCTACTTAAGGTACATACTTTTATAGCAAAAATTATGACTAGAATAATGAATTGTAGAACATATAGTAAAATATATAACTGTTCAGATTAATTGCAGTAAAATAATATAAATCTTTGCAAAATAAAGACTACCCTATTGCCTGCCAGGCAATCAAAGCTTCCAATTATAATATTAACATGTTTAAGGGGACTTTTTGTATTTATGTATGATAGTTTTGTTTTATCTGTATAATTCTAAGACCAAAATTAATTTATTTTAATTGTTTTTGAAATAAATATTATAAACTGAATGTATAGTTCAGAAAATAATTAAAATTTTCTAAAGAATCGGATGGATTCTTATGGATTTCCACATCTCTGCCTTCCTAAGCTAAATATCCTCCAGCAGAACCATTCAAAATTACCAGCTGGCACTGAAATTCTGCTTGTTCCCTCAGTTATTTTCTCTGACCACCTTTCTGCTTTTAATATTACATTTTGTTTTTTCATTATTTGCGATGGATTGAGCACATGGAGAAGCAGTGGAGGGGAGGGTTGGCAGCACAGAGCTATCCAAGGAAGGAGGCAGTATGTTCCATCAGAGAGAAGCTCACATTAAGAGACTGCCATACCCTAAGATCCTCTCAGGATATATTTATTCAGGTAGAAAGTGATAGCTTTTATACCTTGGCATGTTCTGTCCAAATAAAGGATTGGACTCAATTGGATTTTTCTGTGTCAGGGCTGGGCCTGACATCATTCTGGTTTCAACAAGTTTTTTTTCATTTACTTTATGGAAGATTTAAATATAATACAGAATTTCTAGTACAGCTTTATATTACAGAATATTTCTGGAATTACAATAATAATATATTCAGATATTAAAAATAGATACATTGTAATTTCCTATTTAAATATATTGCTTATTTTGTCAAAATATTGCTTCTTCTGTATTGAAATACTGCTGTTGAGTGCTTCATGTTATTATTCTTATCAATAAAATTATTTTCAGTTGAACTGGAATAACACAAATTGTTTTAATTGGAAAAAGGAGGTTATGCGTTTCCACTTTCTTTGCTAGAAATAATAATGTTCACTGTACTTAATTTAAGAAACTCATCTAGTTATTGGAATAATACATTGTACCATGTACAATATAGAATCATCCTGTCTAGTCTTCCTTTATGTATGAAGCCAACTAGGTGACTGGGCTATTTCGTCTCTAGAAAGAAAGCAGGGGCAAACTTTCTCAAAATGTTGCTAGGAAGAGTGCAGGGACTTGTCCAGTTAGTTGTCAGGAGTTTAGATTGACTTGAAGTCTCTCTCTGTCTCTCTCTCTCCCCCTCTGTCTCTCTCTCTCTCTCTTTTCCCCCTTCCCTCTGTCTCCTTCTCTCCCTCCCCCCCCAACACACATGAAGAGGAAGCTTGTCCAAGTATGTTGATTGAGGTTTACTTTAGGTTTGTGTTCATGGATTGTACCTTCTGTTAATATAATTTCATATACTTTTAAACTAAAGAATAGTGAAATAGATTTCTGAAAAAACGCAATTTATGTCTGTAGGCAGGAGGCGTCCTTTCATTAATAGAATGCACCCTGTTTGAGGAAACTGAGACGAATGATGATGAATGTAAGTTCTATCAAATTGTTTTATGGAATTGTAAAATTTTCTTTAAAAAATAGCATTCTTTTTTTTTTTTGCTTAATGAAATATTAGTATAGAGACAGTGTTACTAATAAAAATTCTAATTCAAGAAATAAAAGATGTATGTATATATGTGTTGTTTTATTTATCATTATACCAGACTAGAAACTGAGAGACTTAGAATTCTAGCCGTGCCTTGAGCATAAAGCCAGCCAGGTGACTTTGGCCAGTCACTGTTTCTCAGTTATAGGCAGAGGGGAATGGCAATCCATCTCCAAAATCATTCCAAGAAATCTGTCTATACTTGTCTAGCTCTATACATATGAGGAGGTGGACAGGTTTGGGATGTATTCAATTGTGGCTTTTTATTGCTATATGCCACCTAGAGTCACCCTGTGTGAGTTGGATGACATTTGTTTAGTAAAGAAATATATTTTGGGCTGTTTACATATGATTAAAAGCAGAATAACCCATAACAAAGCACACAAAACAACAGAATTTAGGATAACAGACACTAAACCACAACTTATTCCAACTACGTCATTTTAAGATGGAATCATCCAATATACTAGTCTTACCCACCAAGGCAAAAATCAGACTTTGAATACATTATGGAAAGTCAATAGGGTTGGGGAACTTGTGGTTAGAGAATAATAATAGCAATAGAACTTAGGCTTATTACCTTCCCATAGTGCTTTACAGCACTATCTGGAAGCTTTACAATGTAAGTATATTGCGCCCAACAATCTGGGTTCTCCTTTTACCAACCTTGGAAGGATGGAAGGTTGAGCCCTGTCAGGATTGAACTCCAGGCTGTGTGCAGAGGTAGCCAGCAATACTGCATCGAGACCATTGTGCCACCAGGGCAGGCGGTAATACTGTGACAGATAAGGCATATTTTCTAGGATTTGCTACATGATTTTACTTCATGAAAGGAATCTCAAACACCTTGCCAGATGTTACATTTTAAAAATAATTACTTAGGAAAGGAATATTCTATACTTTAATTTTAATTTTTAAAAAGTTTAAAAATAATAATGCTGGCATAAAAATTACTAAATTTGTACCTCTATTTTGCTAAGTTTGTACCTCTATTAAGTGTCTTGCCAATTAAAAGTCAATGCTATATTGTCATAATAGAGTCAGATGTGTATATTTTTGCCTTAAGTGAATAGGTTTTACCTGGAACACATAATATAATTTTTCATTTGCTTAATTATAAATTCTGTGAGCCAAAATATTTTACATTTGCATGAGTCTGCAATGTTTAAAAATATCACTGGTCAAAGATACTAAATTTGAACTTTACATTTTGGCCATATCTATGCATCACTGTAGAAAGTACCTGTCTCTGCACTTGATGTAATCTAGGTTCTGTATTTCAACCTGTAACTGCCCAATTCTGTTTCTCTTTCAATCATGAAGCAAAAGGTTCTGGGCAAGTATTTGGGCACCTTGACTTCAAGATTGTGGTAGATCCTGCAGGAGCACCTCCATTTACAGTGGTCCTCTTAGCTCCTTCACGGCAGGAAAAAGCAGCATGGACCAGTGACATTAGTCAGGTAAACAGTTTGGGGGGAATACTGCATAATTCATTCAGCACATTAATGTTGTCTTGGAGCTCATTATAAAACTTCTGAAATACTAACAGAATATTGCTTTGAATGCAGTGTTGGTGAATGAATGGCATGTTGACATAGCAGGTAAAAGTAAAGGTTTCCCCGGTCCAGTCATGGATGACTCTAGGGCTGGTGCTCATCTCCATTTCCTAGCCAAGGGATCCAGCATTGTCCAAAGACACTTCTGTGCTCATGTAGCCATTATCACTTTACATGAAGGCTCATAGAACACTGTTACCTTCCCACCAAACTGATACCTATTTATCTACTTGCATTTGCATGTTTGGAACTGCTAGGTTGGCAGGAGCTGGGAGAAGAATGGGAGCTCATCCCGTGGTACTTGGGTTTCAAACTGCCAATCTTCCTAAGCTCATGTCTTACCCGCTAGGCCACTACACCCCCACTAGGCCCCCAAGCCCCCACTGACATAGCAACTAGTATCTGGTGCTTAGAGTGGGAAAGACCGCTTTTAACTAATTATTCATCTGTGAAGCCAAGTGATTTTTGACTTGTCTAAGAATTTTAAGATTTTTTTTAAAGAGCTGGTGATACAATAGGAATGTGACATAAAATAAGATTTTCTTAAGTTTCAGTAGTTGGTTTCTAAATGCCATGAAAAAAACAAGTTCCAATTTTCCTATGGACTATTTTCAAACAAAGGTCTTTTTCATTTTATTTAATAGCTTAGCCCAGCCTTTTACAATGTAAGGCTCCCCAGATACATTAGAACTCTGAACCGCTGTGCTGACTGACAATTCAGTTGGAAGGGTACCAGGTTGGAAAAAGCTGTCTTTAGTTTTTATGCACATTGCATGCAGATGTCATTACTTTCCTTTTCCAGAATTCTTTAAAATTGTATTGTATCTGCACATTTTCACCTGCATGGAACTGTTCTCGCACACAGAAAAAGTTTCCAAAGAAAATTGAATTTAAGATTGAAGAAAATTGAAAGTGGCCAAATCTGGGTATTCTGGAATGGCCTTTATTTTTGATCTTAAGTTACAACTGTACCATGTTTATGTTTTTGATTGCTTGGATCCATTGTGTTAATTGTAAAATAGTTAAAAATAAATAAGTTTTGGTAATGAAAATAAGAGAATGGAACAGTAGCTTGAAAGAGTCACTATGCAAGATTATACTGCACTAGATGCCATATATGTTTATATATGTTTTAAAGAGTATAGAAGATTTTGTACAGATGTGCCAAGAACTGGAGTACAGAAATAGTTCCAAGGTGATTATACTCACATAACTGCCAATACATATTTCATGGTAACAAAAACAATATTTTAATAAAGTTGCAAAATGCACACTAATTGCTGCAGATCAGCTCAATTAATCTGAGTTTATTTGATAGTAAAGGAAAAACCAACAAAGTAGCATTCATTTTTTTCTCTGTGCACTGGTAATATGATTACAATTGCAGCTATTTGGTATATTTTGCAATTAAACATTTAATTGCAGATTAAATTTTACCTGTCATTATTTAATGGGAACTTAAATTAAAGGGCAAAGCTCTTTGAGGCCACATGGTTACTGTATATATTCTTGTTTACCTTCTGCATGCTAAATTTGAAGAAACAAAATAGACTTGACTGTTTCCTCCCAACTATTTTTTTTTAAACAAGTTTTATTGATTTTACAAACAAACAAACAAGACAAAACATCATTAAACATTAAAGACATAAAACCTCTTTCCATTGTAGATCCTTACAAGGCAGGTAACATATTGCTTTATATCACATACTTATAATTTATCCCATTTCCATATAAACACGTAAATTCCCTTTACCAAATTCCACATTGTTTCTCTTTAATCATTATTCAATCGTATTTCCTTTCTGATTTATCTGCTATCCAGTCATCAACTTTATATTTCCCTCTGGCTTGTTTATAATTATTCTCATCTAGTCTTCTTCCGAGATTTTATTATTTAATTCTTAATTAAACACACTGACATAAAACACAGACATAAAAACATAAAACTTTCTTCTAGAAAGTAACTTGGCCCCAGATTACCTCTTTTTGTATGGACTCAATTGTATTCACGCTCTTCTTATATACCATTACCCACCTTATTTACCATTCTATATCTATTATATAACTCCTCTCCACTTTTGCCTCATCTTAATTCTGTTTTATATATTTAATCTTGCTTTTTTAAAAAAAAAAATTATATCTTTTGTCCATTTCTCCATTTACATCTGTCTCATTTCCAATTTAAGAAAGAATAGTTTCCCCTGGAATCACTAATCGGAGTATGATGCCTTTCTATCATTCCCCTAAATTAAAATTTAAAATAACACCTAAATCCCAATCAGATTCTGCTTAGTACATTCTACTATTTCAAAAACCAATACTACAATAATAAATCCATAACAATCAACACATTAATCCATTAAACTCTATATTCAAACTAATATTTTAAACATTCCCTTTAGTATTTTATTAAAACTTATTATCATTCATTATTAAACCTTTTAAAGTTATACCTTGATATTTTAGCCTTTTATTAGATCTTAAAAAGTTCTGGTTATCTACTTATAATACAAATACCACTATTACAATACTCATGTGTACTTTGCAGAATCCCCCCCTTTTTTTAAAAAAAACCCATATATTACCCATTATCCCTGAAAAAAATTTCCTTATCTCCATCTTGTCTTATATCTTTGTAACTTTTTTCCCCCTTTTCCCTTTCCTTCTTAGCCCGCCTAAACTTTTTACCCCCTCCTCTCAAAACCTCTGCCTTCTTGATTTCCCCTTTCTGCATTCCTCTTTCCTTTTGCTTTCTAGCATTCTGTTGTTTTTGCATCTTCTTTTTCTCTTTCATAAACATTTTTTTATTTCTTAAGTCCTTCCTTTTCGCTCCTCTCTTTCTCCTTTCTTTCTTAGTCACACCGTTTAGTTCATTAAAAATGGCTTCTTCTTCCTCGTCTTCTTCCAGCTGTTGTTTAATTTGCTGGCACATGACAAGCGCCATATCTAGAAAACAAAGGGCTTCTCCCATAACATCTTTGCCTTCTTTCTTTGTTTTTAGATATTGTTTTTTTAGTTCATCAAGAGATAGAGCCATTTTAAACTGTTTCTTCTTCTCTTTCTGTATCCTCTTCTTAAATCAATCAGTATTTCCAAGCTTAAAACAGTTCCCAAAAGTCCCAAAGTCCCACAGTCATCAAACAGTCCAGGCAGAGTAGAAGCTTCTTCTTTTTACAGTTTGTCTTCTAGGGGTGAAGTCAAATTAGGGAAAGAAAATTCTCTTTATCTTCAAGGCATCTCCTCCAACAAAGTCTTAGAGTAAAAGTTTGTTTTCCCAAGCCTCTCCCTTCCCACTTATAACAAAGGAGTTTAGGTTTTACCTTCTACCAAAAGGCTGGTTTCCCTTGTCCATTTGTTAATTCCATAGGGGAGGGAGAGTAACTTCCCCTTTTCGTCACTTTCCTTCGCAGCTGAAAACATCAATCGGGAACATTATAGCTTCCAAGTCATTACTTTCCCAGGTGTTAAATATATCCTTAGGGTCCCAGTTCGACCAAGAAAAAACTTTCTTTAAAAAAAAAAGAAAACTCCTTCTCCCTCCTGCGCATTCTTTATCCAATTGCCGGCTTTTTTATGGTGGCCATAAAAAGACCACCGCTGCACCGTCTTGAGAAAAGGGGGTTATTGCCGGCTGGGGGGGTTGCGATGCCCCTCACCCCCGTCCGGATCCCCCCTATCTTCAGCTGCCCCAACAGGGCAGCCTTAGCCTCCAAATCCGTCAGGATCGGAGGCACCAAGGCGGCTAGCACAGCAGGAATCGCAGAGAAGGTGAATCCCTGCTGTCACCAAAGCCGACAACCGGAAGTTCCTCCCAACTATTTTATTGTATTAGAAACAATAGCAGAAAAATATTTATTTATTTATTTTATAGATTTTTTAAACATGCCTGACTCCTTTTGACTGTTTTATGTAATAAAAAAGTTAAAACAATAAAATATACATATCCAGAAAAGTATTACAGAACCTCTGAGAGCTCTCAGTGACTCATGGTTAAGTCTTCTCATCCTCTCAATTGAACATTCTTTCATCACTCCCTTCTTCAGGGTACCCCTTTATATTTCACTCCCCAAAAGCAACCCAAAGTTCCAGGTCACTCTCACAACCTGTCCATACAGAGCCTCCAAAGCTGGTTCCAGAGATGCAGAAACTCCATTCTGATAGGGACTCAGTTAAAGCTGAGCTTTGCCCAGCTACCAGTCAAGTTAAATTCAGAAGGGTATCACCAGACACCAACCTCTCTGTGTTGAGTTAATTGACAAAGAATACAATGCCATTCTGCATGCTTCTTCTCTAGTGACATTTCTGTGGCAATCCAACATCCCATCAATCCAAGCTTCCCAGAAGACTCCCTCCCACTCCTTCATTGACTCTCCAGCCCAGCCTGGGCCTCTGCGGGCAGCTGTCATCCTTTGCTGTACTACTGTTACATTTTGGATTTGATGCCTTAATTAATCGTCTTTCAAATGGTTTTGTATAAGCTCCAACTGATTCATAATATTGTATTAAGCCAATCCACAAACATAGTATGTTTGAATAGATCAGTAAGAGTATTTTTGCAAGACTCTGCTTAAAAAGAGACTGGCTTGCTTTTATATTTTAAACACACTTCAAAAGGCCTATTTCCCGACCCCCTATGACTTGGCATATTCTGGATGCTTATTAAGATAGAGGAAGGTGGCCCAGACTGAAATGTAGTGGCCTCATTTTTGGCTAGTATTTGAATTTGATCTTAATCTACCTAGAAATAAAGACCCGAAAGAGTAATATTGAAATAAAACTGGATTAGCTTGGTTCAGTACCTCACACGACTTTCTCTTACTCTGGAGCAGTTCCACCAGTTGCCTTCATATTCTTATCTGGAAATTATATTGCCTCAGAGTAGTTAATGGAACTAGTGGTGGATAGAGTCCAGAAATTGTGAGAGACGGAAGAGTGAACTGATTAATTCCCAAATCCATTATGAGCCTGCCCAGTTGACAACAGCTCATGGAAAGATCCTTAGCAGCAGACTATCACTTTTTGAAACTTAATCTTATGACTATGGAAGATTGCTATTTCAGAGGCTTCAAGGCATGAATTGTTTCCAGTAATCAGGAGCTGCTGTTTTCGGTGTCTTTGGATTAAATGACCCGATGCAAAAGGAATTTAAAACCTGTGGTTTTGCAATGTTTCCAGGAGCAATACATTTTGAGATGGGAAATACATTCAGAACAACCAAATATTCATTTGCTTATTGAGTAGAATGATATTCTAGGCTTTATCCAGGTTTGCCAAGAGATAGAACTCACCTCAAAGCCACCCAGTGAACTTCAGTGGGGTTGAAGAGAGACATGAGTGTAGGTCTTCCTTAATCGGCTCCAACATTTTAATTTCTGCAGCACACTGATTTATTTGCAACTTCAGGGACCTTAAATAGTAAAATGTTTAGTTTTGATTCTGAAAATGTTAAAATGTGGCAGTTCATTCCTTCTATCTTTCCTACTAACTAAATAATTGTTCCAGATAAAATTTTATTTTCTGTAATTATAGGATCTGAGATATATAGTATTGAGCAAAAATGATTCTATAATTTGTTTTTTTATCAACTTATCTAGTGTGTTGACAACATACGGTGCAATGGTTTAATGACAATAGTGTTTGAAGAAAATTCCAAAGTCACTGTGCCACATATGATCAAGTAAGTGTAATTGGATTTTCATGTTACATATGGTTGTCTAGTTTTGTTTAAATTCAAATACAGATTGAATAAAAAATATAGCAGTTTTATTTAATTATATTCTGCATTTCATGGGAATCTGTTACCTTATATTGTCAATCAGTCATTCTATCTCAGGGGTATCAAATTCATGCCAGGGTGTCGTCATGTGACGTATCGGGACTTTTTCCCCCTTTGCTAAAACAGGCGTGGCCGTGGCCAGCATGTGATGCATCCAGCCCATGGGCTGGAGTTTGACAGCCCTGATCTATCTAGCTATCTATCCTCCTCCTCCTCCTCCTCCACCACCACCATCGTCATTATCTATCTTTTTAAATGAATTTTCTGGGGCCAAGATTTATAACTTATTTGTCAGTTATGCTAAAATTTCATGTACATCTCATGAATAACCCTGAAAAATAAATGTGACCAGTAATAAAATATTCATGTATTAGCTCTCCTTCCAGGATTTCAGTTATATTTACCTTTGTTTTTATTTGGCCATATTTTGATATATTTGCAGAAAGCAGTGGGTTACAAACCAGTAGTTTTGGGGGAAGTATAAATTATGTTAAAGGCTAGGAATTTTTTCTTTTCATATTTTTTTTCAAAATTAAAGGACTTCAAATAATAGCAATAGCACTTAGACTTACGTACTGCTTCACAATGCTTTACAGCCCTCTCTAAACTGTTTACAGAGTCAGCCTATTGCCCCTAATAATCTGGGTCCTCGTTTTACTGATCTCAGAAGGATGGAAGGCTGAGTCAACCTTGAGCCACTGAGATTTGAACTGCCGAATTATAGGCAGCTGGCAATTAGCAGAAGTAGCCTGCAGTACTGCATTCTAACCACTGTGCCACCACGGCTCAAATAAAGAACTTAAAGTCAATAAGGCTGGAAGGCTTCAGGCAAAACAAGAGATGCCCTAAGCATATTGTTTCCACGTTGCAAATTTGGCCCATAGAGAAACCATAAGACTATTCCATTGGCCAGAAATATGATTTTGATTTTATAAGTAGTGTCTACTTAAGATTATAAGCAGAACTTGTTTCTTCATATCAGAGACAATCTGCAAAAAAGAAATCTCTGATTTTCAACATTTCTTTAATGTTTTTCAAATTATGTTATGTAGGTCTGATGCCCGTCTGCATAAAGATGATATTGACATCTGCTTCAGCAAAACTCTGAACTCTTGCAAAGTACCGCAAATTCGTTATGCAAGTGTTGAACGCCTCTTGGAAAGATTAACAGACTTGAGATTTCTCAGTATTGATTTTCTTAATACTTTCCTACATACTTACCGTATATTTACTAATGCGGCAGTTGTACTAGAAAAACTGTCTGATATTTACAAACGGCCTTTCACCTCCATCCCTGTCAGGTGAGTTGTTTTCTACTTTTTAAATTATTATATTATGGGAATTTTGGTAATAATAGTCATCTTTCAAACTGCATTATGTATTAATGGTTTGAGAGAACAAAAATCACTTTTGTTCTGCAAGATGCCCTTTTTAAGTGAATCTGGTTTCCCCCACGTGGCTTTGCTTGTTGGAAGCCAGCTGGGAAGGTTACAAATGGTGATCACACGACCCTGGGACACTGCAACGGTCACAAATACCAGTTATTAAGTGTTTGAATTTTGATCACATGACCATGCAAGGGTCATAAGTGTGAAAACTTGGCTTAAGTCACTTTTTTCAGTGCCATTGTAACTTCAAACAGTTATACAATGAAGACTATCTGTAATTTTAGAAATTTTCTACATGGTATTCAGAACTACTACCATACAGTATTTTCTTAAAGAAAACCCAGGTACTAGAAAGTTTGGACATTCTGCTCTTGCATTCTCCAGATAGGCATCTTCAACTAAGTCCCTGGCAAAGACAAGCCCTGCCTATAAATGTGTTACTCTAATCTCTCTGACCTGTGTTGTTGCTGATCAGAATACTTGACAAGCACCAACTAGATCCAAACCAGCAAAGTTGATCTTCCTAGCACGTGGCGATTTCTTATCTAATAAAATCACAGATTATAGAAATTAGTTTTGTATCTTGAGTTTTTTATTTTCCAGGATTTTTATATGTATTTTCTTATAAACTACTTTTCAAAGACAGTTCTGGCATGGTAAAATTACTTCTGAGTTTTTAAATTCATTTCCTAGGTCTTTGGAATTGTTTTTTGCTACAAATCAAAACAATAGAGAACATATGGCTGATGCAAAGTCACCACACCTCTGCCGCAAGTTTTCTTCCCCTCCGCCTTTATCTCTCTCTAGGACATCTTCACCCGTTAGAACAAGGAAACTATCATTAAATTCTCCATTAAATTCAAGAATTGGAGCATTAGATCTATCTGCTTCTTCTGTGAGCAGTCCTACCTCAACATATAGCCCTGGAACATCATCACCCCCAATGTCAACAAAAGTGCCACTGGATCTAAGCAAAAGCCCTTTATCTCCAGAGCAAAGCCCTGTTTTTTCAGAAGACAATACAGAAAATCCTCGCAATGAGCTTTGCAATAAGCTACGAAGAAGTATTCGAAGAGGTATCTGTCCATCTGTTTGTCTGTCTGTCTATCATTTATCTATTTAATTATATAACAACTTCATGATGCAGTCTTCCTCAACGTGATGATCTCCAAGTGTGGGGTTCGGCAATCTTACAATATCCACATAGCCAGGCAGCAACTAATGCTTATGCTATCTGAAAGTTTGGGGAGTCCCTAGAAACTTAAGTTAGGGAAGGTGCTGCATATTGCAGGTAATGAATGCTTACTATGATTAATGTGGCAACTGGATTACTGTAGAATAGTAGAAGTGATTTTGCTGATGTTTTGTGTGAATACTGCCCACCAGATTTCTGACACCATTATTTCACTTAAATTTATCTGTGAAAAGAAGTAAAAAAGCAACATTGGAAAAATAAGCTTTTGCTTCCACCAATGCAAGGATCTACAGTTAGGCTAGAAAAAGAGTTGTTATAAGGCATAGCCAGATGCAGGGTTTTGTTGAGACAATTTAAAAATGTTCTGCCTAAATACATTACTGTCAATCATGTGTGTTAATGTTTGCTTAATAGGTGTTTATGCTGTATGGATTTTTATCCCACATTCGTTATTTTTATAAATAACTCAAGAGCATGAACATAACTAATATTCCCCCCTCCTATTTTCCTCACAACACCTTTATAAGTTGGGTTGGGCTGAATGAGAGTGATTGGTCTGAAGGCACACAGCTGGCTTTCATGCCAAAGGTGGGATTAGAATTCACAGTTTCCTGGTTTCCATCTTGAAGCTTTAACCACTAGGCCAAATTGTCTCTCTGCCATTGCTAGAAATGGGGCGGGAGGGGAGATTGTATGGGAAATCACTCTTTATGCATTGTAATTACAGTAAAATAGTCCATTACTATGAACTTAATAACATTTTAGAGGCATCCCTTCCACTTTGATTCATTCTCTTGGGAATCTCTTCATATTTTTCTTCTTTTGATTTATGTCTCCATTTCCTTTTTTATTTTATTTTATGTTCAGTTTCCCCCAAACGTCTTCTTGACACTATCAGATACATACTTACCAGATAAAACATATATAACTACTCATCAGCCTTGTATGTATTACTGATTCTCTTGTTCTTTCAATATAAACAATCAAATCAATCATGCTTTTAGTTTTGTATTAATTCCTTTAAAATATATGAATATGAATCGAAACAGTTTTTTAAGCAGATCTCCAATTACCATACTGATTCATTCTTGGGTCTCCAAACAGCCATGTGACTTTTTTGCCCCATTTCTCACTCATTTATTCATATCACCTAAGAGATGCAGGATGCTAGTTGCTGCTTATAATACCCTGTATAACAGGACTAGGTCACTTGCAGGACCTCTGTTTCCAATTGTTTTTGTTTGTCCCACCAGATCTGGTAGGAGGATCATGCTCCACATCCCTTCTGTCCAGCAATGTCATCTTGCTAGACAAGGAATCATGCATTCCTTTGCAATGCCTGGTCTGATGAACTGTCCAAATCTTCAGAGATTTGGACAGTCCCCATCATTTTAATTTTTTGTAAGTCACTTAAAATATGACTGTTCCTACAGGCATTTGGACTGGGATATTAACAAGTTCTGTTAATTGATTGCTGACCAGTTTATTGTTGTACTGGTAAACTGGAAATGCTTTTCTTGATCTTGGACTGTGATTAGGTGGATCATTGTTTGATTGTATTTTGCTTTTAAACTTTCTATGCACTATCCAGCATCACTAGTTAGGTGAGTGCCATATAAATGGTTTAAATCAATCAATCTTGGTTACTAAGATGCACTCTTTCAAGATGTTTCTGCTATACACCTTCATAACATAAAATATAGAATTAATAATATTTATTATTATGTGCCAATAAAATGCAGAAATACATAAACCATTTTATTCAAGAGTCTGTTTTGTGGAGGTTTTGTACAGTTTTAAAGCTCACAAAGTTCTACAGTAAATCTCATTTTTTGAAAAGCAAAAAAACCCTAAACATTAAAAATTACAGGTGTTATGCCATTTGTCAACGTTGCTCTATAGGGAGAGGAGAGAAGACAAGAGAGGAGAGGAATTTGTCTCCAGTGCAGAAGCTCTCAGTGTACATGCAAAGCAACAGGATAATGATGATGATTATCATAAGAGGGGGGAGTAAAGAAGATAATGGGAGGGATAAATGATAATACTATAACCATACATTATGGGTAAATATACATAGATATTAGTGAGAAATAGGTGTTCAATAAATGGATGGTGTGAGGGAAAAAACTATTCCTGTGTCTATTAGTTTTGGCATGCAGTAAACCTGTAGCAGTGTTTCAAGGGGAAGAATTGAAACAGTTTACATGCAGGATTTGAGGGGTCTGTAGATAACTTCTCAGCTCTCCCTTTGACCCACACAATATATAGGTCCTCAGTAGAAGGTAGGCTGATTGCAGTTATTCTTTCTGCAGTCTTAACTATCTGTAGGAGTTTGTCCATCTCCTGTTTGGTTGCTATACCAAAGCAGACACTTATAGATGTACAAATCACAGACTCAATAATTCCTCTGTAAAACTGTTTCAACAGCTCCCGGGGCAACCTGAACTTCCTTAGTTGACACAAGGAGAACATTCTTTGTTGTGCCTTTTTAATGATGGTTCTAATATTAAGTGTCTGTTTCAAGTCCTGGGAGATTATAAAATTCAAAAATTTGAGGGACTTTACTGTTGATACTATGCTGTGGAATATAAGGTGGTATAATAGCATGGCTCCTCCTAAATTCCACTCTCATCTCTACAGTTTTAAGCATCTTTAAGCAACTCCAGATTGTTCTGGTTGCACTACAGGGCCGATTGTTCAACCTCCTTTTTGTATGCAGACTCACTACCCTCTTGAATGAGGCCAATGACTGTTGTATCATCTTCAAACTTCAGTACCTTAACAGAGGGTTCCCTTGAGATGCAGTCCTTGGCATAGAAAAAGAAGAGCAACTGAAAGAGCACACAGCCCTGAGGGTACCTGTACTAATTGTCTAGGTACTAGATGTAATTTTCCCTAGCTTCACCTGTTGCTTTCTATCTGTCAAAAACCTGATGATCCAGTTACAAGTATGAACAGGCGCAGTGAGTTGAATCAATTTAGAGTGAAGAATATCTGAAATGATGGTATTGAATGCCAAGTTGAAGTCTATTAAAAGGACACATGTAAGGGTCCTCAAGAACTCAAGATGTTGCAAGATGTAATATAATGTCATAGTGACAGCATCATCTGCTGACCTATTTAACATGTAGACAAACTGCAAGGGATCACAGATCTGTGATGACTTTTAGATGAGCCAGCACTAACCTCTCAAATGACTTCATAATTAAAGATGTCAGAGCAACCAGCTTGTAGTCATTTAGCTTCTCTGAGGGAGGATCTCTTAGGAATCCGGATGAAAATAGAGAGTTTGAAGCAAGAAGGGACATAACACATCTCCAGTGATTTATTAAAAAATAAATATCAGTAATATTTAAAAAGTATCAAGTTAACAATATCAATAAAAATGACTGACATAAAAGAGTTATTAAAAATAAGTTAATTCGTATAAATATTTATTTACAATTTTTAAGCTTATAATATATCTGGATTTTGTGACAGCCTAAAGAATTATTCAGGATCATTTACTGAAGAAGTGGCTAATATTGTGAGAAAGCTAATAATAAATAGGAGAGTCACAGGACTGAAGGAGCCATGTAAAACATCACATCCAACTCCTTGCTCTTGCAGAAAGTCAAATGCTTAAAATACCTAAGATAGATGACCCTCTAGCTGTTCTTGAATCCAGCCAATGAATGGAAGCCATTCCAAATCTGTTTTTCATTATCAAGTGCTTTTCCAATCAAAAAGTGGAGCACAGTAAACTCACATCTGGAAATAATTCATGGCCATGATTTTATTATTCTGAATTTTAGTCTTCTGGATGAAGAAGTTGGAATTTTGGTTCAGAACCATCATTATTTTTCAGGAGCATCCTTTGAGGCTCCCTAAATATTATAGCGGAGTCTAATAACAGTATGAAAGATATACTATGTTATGATACAAAGGGGAAATGTTTGACATCTCTTGTGATAAATAGAACCTTAGGAATTAAGCTGGTAATATATGAGCTTGTCTATTCTTCCAAGTTTGTATTAGAATAACATTATAAAGGGGATAATCTTATAGAAAAAACTTCTCAACTAAATCAACTCAGTGGTGATTTATTTTAAATATTAGTGTGTGGTATTTGATAGATGAAAATATTTTTTTTCATTTAGATAGAACTAAATTAAATCTCAACCCTGAAAAGAAAAGCTTTTCTCAGTTAACATTTAATATCAAAATGGTTTTGCCAACAATAAATTTTAGTGAGCTGTATGTTTTCTCTTTTCATTAAACAGTCTCGTAATTCAAATTCCTTCCTTGTTTCTTTAACCTGGATCCTGAGGTTTTGTGTGGACCATTAGACTGTCTAAATAGAACTGGTGCAAAAAACAACATTGCTACTTCCAACTATGCAGTATCACATTCCCCTAAATTATGGTTGAATTGTTAAATTGAGTTAAGGAGATGCTGACATTGTACCTTTGCCTACTTCAAAGCATCTTGTGTTGGCACCCTTAATCCAAAAATGTATTTTCCCTAGGTTGCATGGCTGCTGTGCAAACCCAAGAAATGATGAAACTTCTTTAAGGAGCACTGGCACATGGATAATATGGGTGCTAAAATTATATCAATATAGTGATTAATTATTGAACAATGGTGTTCAAATAGAAACCTTTGCAATTTTATCACAATTTATATTAATTGAATACCTCACACACCATACACCCAGTTTAACTATGAATTACTTGACATTGTGCTCATCAATCTAAAAACCCGTTGAGGTATTTTTTTCTTTCAGTTATGTATTTTATGTGTGGAATTACAAATTCTGGTTATATACTGCCCAGATACAAAACACATTCGCATTTTCAAAGTGTGTTTCAGTTATTTGTTTCTGCACACTGAAAATTAAGTTTTTAGAATAAGAATTTAGTATGTTTCCTGTATTTCTATAGTTCTTATTCTTTTTATAGCAGGAGTTTTAGAATCTGTACCAGTTGATCATCCTATCCCAGAAAGTGCCTCAATAGTAGACCCTCCTGAGCTGTCTCCATGTAGATCCCCTTCAACTCCACGGCATTTACGTTTCCGGCAGACAGGAGGTAATACGAAAATATTGACTTCATTATACAGGGCACTGCAGCATGGATTTAAGCTGCTTCAATAGGATTTGAACTCTTGTGTAAATCAGTCTGGATTGCAGTCTTAGCCCTGACTTTGTTTCTCTTTTTTAAAAAGAAAATATCTCTAGGATATTAATTTCCTGGTTTTTAAATGCTTGTTTGTCACATAGTATATAGAAAAGAAAATGTAAATAATACCATTCAAAATGACTCTGGCAGCAAAATAATTTTTTACATTCAGCTGTGATGAAATATTCTGAAACATTTTTAACAAATTGTTTGATAAAAGTGAATTGTTTTGAGAAAAACATTTGCTTGAGAAAAACATTAACTTCAGCCTTCTGACAGATTTGTGTGATACAAGCTGAAGGCACATTTTGGCTACCTGGTATGAGGAAGATACTACTATTGTTAGTGAGAAATAAATCCATCTTGTACATAATAAGAAAATAAGTGCATCCTGTATATATGGCATAGGTAGTCTAATTACTGTAATTATTGTGTAATTAGGTTTCGCCTAATCTGGTGAAAACTAGCTGTTAAGGAAACCTCGGAGAGAATAAATACTAGTTAACCATAACCCTAATGATGGCCTTGGCATTATTTTTCCTTCCTTCCTTCCTTCCTTCCTTCCTTCCTTCCTTCCTTCCTTCCTTCCTTCCTTCCTTCCTTCCTCCCTCCCTCCCTTCCCTTCCCTTCCCTTCCCTTCCCTTCCCTTCCCTTCCCTTCCTCATAATACATCTGAGGTATACTGCATGCTACTGAGATATAAAATATTAAAAATATTTCAGAGGTAATAAAGTATACATGTACAGAAAGATACAGTATTTGCATAATATGACATTAATAACTTTGACTATATAGTGTAGGGTCTCAAACCACTAAAAACAGGAAAATCAAAGACCAGGATACACTGTTAAACAGAGTGAAACTTGGGTAGAGAGAACTATGGATTTGAGCCTAAAGAACATAAAGTTGTGGGATCCAGTTAAGTCATTAGGTGTAGGCCTGCTTTGGTTACTCCCTCAATGTGAAGAGACCGGCATAGCCCAAAAAACTAAACCTCTCTATGGTGGCCCATCTACATGTCTTGGAGAAATGCTTTTTTTTAATCCTTAAAATCTTCCTTTTAAAATGGGCTTTTAATATCTTGAAGCCTATTGAAAAGAGAGATAGGCATCTTTGTATTTATTTTTTATTTCTTTATACTAACATGTTTCAAGATTGCTTGTTAAGATTTCTGTATACCCCTCAAAGTCATGAAATTGGAGCGGAAATGAAATAAATAATGAACTGTGTTTGCTTCCATTCTTGAGTTGCTGTAAAGATTCAGATTAGACATACTGTATCAGCATTCTGGAAAATTCAAACAAGTTCATGCCTTGGTAGAGCTTGACAATGGCACTTTTACTATACAGTAAGATTCATTCTATAAGCTGATTCATTTTTGGGAACAATGAAAAATATGAAATTCAGTGTTCCAGAAACAGGAGAGAAAGAAGTTATAATTCCTATAATATATAATTCGAAGCAAACAGGGATATATATAAGTATGCACAGAAATGTTCAACTGGATTCTTATTTATAAAATGAATGTTAAGTGAGGTGTTTTTGTTTATAAAACAATGTCAGCTGATATTTTTATTTTTATTTTCCTTGCAGTACAGGTGACTGACAATGGTCATTGTTCTGTTTCTCCTGCTTCGGCCTTTGCTATTGCCACAGCTGCAGCTGGTCATGGAAGTCCACCAGGTAAGATTACTAATAGATCTATGTGAATCAACCCTGATTTGAAGTGAACTGGACATTTGAGCATGATATGTATCTGATTCAAGATTTAAGAACAAACCAATTTATTCTACCTTATTTGAAATTTGACTTTAAAGGAGAATTTGTTAGTCTGTAGTAAGAAGTATCAGAACATCTAATGCTTCTTAAGCTTTTGGACTGAATGAGACGGAAATATTAGGGATTACAGATCCAAGTTTAAATTGATATCTTCGCAATAAATCTTGAATCCAACTTAAAAATAAACTTTTGGAAAAATTATAAAATATAATGCTTTTATGAAAAACCACTGAAAAACAATGACTACTAATTTTCTTTGTGGAATTGCCATGAGTCTTGGCATCACTGGCAAGATTGGCTCTTCCAGAAATGTATCCTTAATAAGTGGCTGGACACCACTGTAGTTTAATAGTAATATTTTATGTTAATTGTTGGTTGGCAAAGGCAGGAGTAGACTGGTAAGAGAGACTATAGTAACATATGCATTCATTTGTTTGCTTGTTTTCTTAGTATATGTTCTTCTGACTACTAATTTTTAAATGTTGTTTTGTTTCATGCCCCTTTGAGCAAATATTTAACGTGGATAAAGAAAATGAATTTACTATTACAAAACTGAAAGGAACTACATTTGGTGAAATTGTCTGTGCTATAACTGTTGAAAGTACAAACAACATCTTCCTAGTAACTAGCATTTCAATATCTTATTTTTTACAAAAATCAAGAAGAATACTGTTTTTGTTGTTAAGATTGCAGTTTTTTCCAAGTATGAACCTGCATCTGGCATTTTCTTCCTATTGCTTTTTATTGAAAATCTGTATATTGTTTTATCTCCAAAGAGTCATCTCCCTGAGGTGCAAAGACCGAATGAACATAAATTTGTTTCAATCTGTCTGTAAATTATATATCCATCTACATATATTCTCTTTTCCTTGTAACTTTCACAAACTGTGATGAATTTGAATAGAATTCTATTTTTGTTCCAGAAGTAAGAGCTGTTTTGAATCTGGAGAACTGTTGCTTAGCAATTCCGTCAAATGGTTGGGTAAATGCTTTCTTTCAGACTGGCAAATCACACTATGAAGCTTTTATTAAGCAATTATTAAGCAATAACCTTGTATTAAAGTTACAGTTATCGGAGGAAGATAAAGAGGACTCCTCCTTGTGGATAAATACATGTTAATAAATATATCTCCTTTTATAAGGAAAGGTGATGCAATTTAGTGATAATGCACATAAAGTAAGTTCCAAATTCAGTCCTCTGGTCTTTAGTTAAAAGCATCAGCAGGTGATGGAACCAAGATGTCCAGGATGTCCTTGAGATATCCTAGGAAACTGATAATACTTTATGTTAGACATAGTACCTGTTAGTAATGCCTCACAATTCTAATTTATACAAGAGTTAGTGAAATGTGCACAGTTTTCTTTACATTAATTCATTAGAAATCTGGGTTGTGGTCTGTTCTTGTCCCATGATAAAGTCTGCACTTGTGGTAGAACCAAAACAAAAACAAATCTCATTTTATTTACATTTTATGTTAATTAAAATTAAACACATTTATGCTTTATATGTATTTAAATCTGTTCAGATATTTTTATAAGGAGAATTATTTTTAAAATAAGTAAATTCTAATGCAGAAAAAGCAGGAGATAAGGAGTAATTAAATAACTTGCTTTTTTGGATAATACTTTATCACCCAAATGCGTATTTTTCTACTATGTAGACTCTTGAGAATGTACCTGTACCATTCAACATCAGTGTAGGAAGTGACTTTTTGTAAAAATTTCAATTGCCTGTCTTCATTTGAATAATGCTAAAAAACTGTTATGGAAACCCAGGATTAGTCAAGATTCATTCTGTTTTGACAGAAGGAGCATTCTTATTTATGTGAGCAAAATAAATTCCTTTATGACTCATTGTGCCTCTTCGATTAATTTAACATTAATTTGAACAACAATTGCAATTTCAAATAACAATAGCAGAAAACCAAAAAATCTAAATGTTGCACGTCTTCATAGGTATTGTGCTTTAGTTAATCTAAATCCTGTGGTTGGAATGGCTGTTCAAAAATACTTCAGACGTTTATTAATTCTTTCAAAAGAGTGGTGTTTAGAAAATTCTAAATAGTTTTCTTTAGAAATTTATTAGAAAACAGGAACAAGAACGTTATCAACACATTTCTTCATTACAACATTCTTTCCCATTGGTGGCTGTATTAATGAATGAGAATAAGAGGAATTAAAAATTTAAACTGCCTTGTTAGATCTAATTAAGAATATAGTTGAATAGGCTCTGAACAATGATCATCTGGATGGAACTGGACAACAAAGAAATACAGTAAATCAATAGCACAGATTGTCATCTCTATTCCTGACATGCTTTGACAATCAAAAATGTATTGCCATATACTGTATATAAAAGCTACATTTATAATTGCCTTATCTAGTACTAACTGATAGCTCTGGGCATCCTAAATATAAGCTCTTGTTATAGCCACAATTAAACTTTCAAATTTTTTAGGAATTAAGTATGCAAGATATGTACAGCTGAAAGAAGAAACATTTGTTTTCTTTTTGCCTATAGTACAATATATTCTTTTGTCTATACTATTAAGCTATTTTATTGAAACATCCGGAATGCAACTGTTTTCTGTTCACTTGCTTTAAGTGTTGCAGAGTTGCACTCACACTGCTAGTTTATAGGCTGGAAATAAACATTTTCTCCCAAGCCCTTAATAACTGTAGTTGTTATTTTTATTTTTTATGTTTTTATAACTAATATGTTTAAGTAGAATATTTAAAGTACTGGTAGCTTTCTATAAATTTGTGTAGCTGCATTACATTGACTTAAATTTCTTTCATGAATTAGTTTACATGTATAACACACAATTGACATTTTCAGAATTCTCTTTATTCCCTTTTGCATATTAAGAATATCAACTCCATTAATAATTACGTACGGATGGCACATCCTCTTCAAAGTAAACCATTAAGATTGCATTCAACTAGCATAGCTTTGATTTTATCATGTTGAATAATAAGACGGAAAGTTAAATGGAGGTTGATCATAGAACTAGAAAATGTTGATAGAGTGAAATGTTGATAGAGTGAAGCCTGGCAGCTATAGCATCTGCCAATCAAATGTTTGGGATATTTAATTTGTATGAACAGATGGACAGACTACTGCTCACATGAACGCTCAGCTCTAATGTTTCTGGTTATTAAAAGATATGAGGAATGCAATAGTTGCATGTGGATGACAATCAGCATATTATTTCTGTTGCTTCTTGGTTTTCAAACAGGTGTTACATATCTTGATCATTGGTTTGGGGGAAATGGACCAGTTATGGGAAATAAATATAATCCATACATTTGTAGAATTGTTGTAGTTAAATCTGCAAGATTCTATATTGTGCTTTGAAAACACAAGTTTTATCATCTGATGGCTGTCTTGGAGTCAGCCTTAATCTGGGTTGGAGTTTGTGGCTAGATGTGCCTTTATTCAATTTAGATTAGATATGTGCTATTTGAAGTGCTGTTAATACACTCTGCATGACTTTGCCTTTGATAAATGATCAGAGACTTCAGTGATCCATAAAGCAAATGGTCATGTTATTAACAGAAACAACATATTGAGACTAAGCAATTATATTAATGTATTAAGGAAATTGTAAGCTCAGTGATTTGATCCTTAACTACCAATGTTTGAAACCATAAGGAATTGACTTTTTAAAGACTATTTACCAGTAGGAGTTCGTGGATAAGGTCAGAAAAAAACTCTTTCACAACATCAGGTGTGCTGCTGAGCCTGCCTCTTAGTAGTTTTGGAGAAAATCATACAATGAGAATTTGAAATTAGAGGTAGTCCTCAACTTACAACCACAAATGAGCCCAAAATTGATGTTGCTAAGTGGGAAATTTGTTGAGTTTTACCCCATTTTGTCTCCTTATTTGTTAAGTGACCCACTGGAGTTCTTAAATTGATAACACAGTTGTTAAGTGAATCTGGTTTCCCCATTTGCTTGTCAAAAAGTTGGAAAAGGGGATTACATCACTATGGTACCCAGCAACTGTCATAACTATGAGCCAATTGCCAAGTGCCCAAATTTTGTTCATGTGACCATGGTGATGCTGCAATAGTCATAAGTGTGAAAAATGGCCATAAGTCACTTATTTCAGTGCCATTGTAACTGCAAATGATCACTAAATGAACTGTTGTAAGTTGAGGACTGCCTATATTTGGTACAGGGAATATTAGCTATATTCCCTACACCAGGGGTCAAACTGGATTTCTCTGAGGGCAGGATCAGCATTGTAGTTCTCTGTGGGCCAGCCGGGGGAGTTGGGGAGTGGGGGAGGGAGATAGGGGACAGATGCTTCCTGCAGCCAAAACAGGGCATGGGGGACCGCACATGGCCCCTCTTGCCTCATTTTTGGCCTCTGTGGCATCTTGCAGTGCTCTCCTGGCCAAAAATGGGCTGCACAGAGCCCTCCTTCCCCTCATTTTTGGCGTCCCTGGCCTCCAGAAGAACTCTGGCAGCCAAAAATGGGCTGTGTGGACACCTCCTAATTGCGAGGCCTTGGCGTGGCCCATTTTGGCCAGCAGAGGCACTGCAGGCCAGTCCTTTGATATTTCCAACCCAGCCCCACAGGCCAGATTTAAGCATCCCATTGGCCAGATCTGGCCGCGGGCCTTGAGTTTGACACCCTTGCCCTACACTGATACATGTATGTATTTCCATCAAGATAGTTGAAAATCTGAATGGGCAGCAAGGAATAGGTTATGCCAGTGAATTTATTGCTCCCCCCCTTTTCTAGAAAAATTGCACTTGTGCTTGTTTTATGTTGCTGTGTAATATTATAATAGAATATTGAATTAACTATAATATTCAGGATTATAGAGGAAAATTAAGCAATTCAAGCAAACATTTTGTTTAAAAATGTAGGAAATTCTCGTTCGGCAGTTGCAAATATGTGTTATATCATTTAATGTATATGTGTAAGCAAAATTTTAAAAATCCTTTGTGCATCAATGATGAAAGAGTTTTTTTTAATGGTTTTATTCAACCAAGCTATACTGTGAAGAATTTTATTTTGATAACTTTCTTCATCTAATTGATTATATTTTATTGTATATTTCCTTTAAAATATGTAGCATTTAATAATTCTGAACGAACATGTGATAAGGAGTTCATAATACGTCGAGCAGCTACTAATCGTGTCCTGAATGTCCTTCGCCACTGGGTGTCAAAACATTCTCAGGTACTTTTTATAATTTGCTTTTTTCATGTGAAGCAGTGTCACATTCTTTCCACAGCTTATATATTGTACAAATTCTCTTACTTTCCAGTTTTTCAAAAAAGTCAAGAATTTATTAGACTTGCATCCTCTTTAGTCTCATTGAGAAGTTAGCCATACTGAATGAGAATTTTGGGAATTTTAATGCCAACACCTATATGGGGAAAACTCTGCTGGCATTAAAATTTGTAATAGCTTGCATATAATTTTTGGAAATTCTGCCTTATACTAAGTAGTTCTTCTGGATATTGCTATTACATAGTTTCTATAAAGTAAAGTTTGTACCACAAACTGATATGAAAGTCCACCCCCCCCCCCCGATTATTTCTAAAGTATATGCAAGGATGACAAGAATCCAACACTGAATCAGCAAAATAGGTTTTCTGTATGCTTAGTTAACACTTTCTATGATCAAGCCTTGTTAAATGTAATTGGATTTTTGGCATGATTTTAGGGCAGATAAAAGCATCATTATAGTCTCTAAATTTGATCCATGGTCCATCTTAAAATTAAGGGTATTATCCTAGAGTCAGTTATCTGGGTAATATCATTTCCTATAAATTATGCTTGACATTTATAGCCTCAAGAGTTCAGTTGTGCCAATAGTAGTGCCAATTTCATTTAGAAAATGTATTCTGTTGTTGGCAGCAGCTATGGAAGTGAAGAATTATATGTTTTTTCTTGCTCTTGAAGACCTCTGCAATAGTCTGTTGCCCTAGTAGAAAACCATGAAGAGATGATGGTAAAAAATGTACAGTATGTTGCTGTTATTTTCTTGAAGCTGATGTACAGAAGCTTGTAGTAACAGTAAATGTATAAATAAGAAAACATAACTTCAAAATCTCCTTGGTATGATTAATTAATAATTAATAAATTGTACTTATGTAGCCCAAACCTAAGCATATTTAGTCAGATAGGACATTTCCAAGTAAATCTTCCTAGAATTAAATCATAGGGATTTAGCATGTCAAGACTGACATCAGAGTATTCCCCAAATTAGACCAAGTATATCTGAAAATTATGCTATAACTATTCACTGCTTTCCAAATTAACTTGACTAATTAAAATAGCGTAAATAAAATTGTTCTTTTGACTTTGTGTGTTTATATAATGCCTTCATTTAACATGCACAACACTTATGATTGAAGCTGTGTGAATTAATCAGCCATGCAAAATAGATGTTTGTGCAGGTAAGATTATCAACTGTGCTGTCAACCAAAACCAAGCATTTAATAGTGAGTGCCATACCATGTGCATTAATCAAACAGGTGGCAAGAAAGTAGGGGCAGGCAGGCACAACACAGGTTATGCAGGCACTGTAAACACAGTGTCAGACATAAAGATCTCAAGTGCCTATATACAAATGCACAAAGTCTGGGGAACAAACAGAGTGAACTTGAACTACAAATACAGGAAGGTAGATATTATATAGTTGGAATAACAGAAACTTGGTGGATGAAACCCATGATTGGAACATACTGGTAGAAGGATACAAACTATTAAATAAAACAGACCCCATAAAAGAGGAGGTGGAGTTGCACTGTATGTAAAGGACCACTATATTGCTATAGAAATGCATGAAACCAAAGATGAAAATCTCCTAGAATGCATATGGGTCAATATAAAAGAAAAAAAAGAATGACATGGCCATAGGTGTATATTATAGGCTATCCAATCAAGCAGAAAAAATAGATGTCCTTTTTGCCAACCAACTAACAAACAAACATATGCCAGGAAACACACAACCATAGTAATGGGAGTCTTCAATTATCCTCATATCAATTGGATAACTAATTCTGCACCAAATGAGAAATCAAATAAGTTCCTAACCAACCTAGCTAACAACTTTGTTGTCCAAAAGGTAGAGGGTGAAACTAGAGTAGTGGTTCCCAAAGCGGGCGGTACCACTCCCTGGGGGGAAATGCCTTAGGGGGGGCGCTAAGAGGCAAGGAAGCCAGCAGGGGGCGCTAAGAGGTGGCAGGGGGTGTTCGAGGCACCAGCCCTGCAGGTTCACTCATTGACTGTAGTAACGCTCCAGAGCTGGCGCCTCCAATGCAGAAGCGGTGGCACATTATATGCCACCGCAGCCATGTTCGATGTGCCGCCCCCCTGCCACCTCTTAGCGTACCCAAGGGGGCTGGCAGAGGGGTTCTAAGAGGCGGCAGGGGGGCATTTGAGGTGCCAGCCGGCCCTTCAGGTTCACCCATTGAGGCACCGGCTCCGGAGCGGTGTGACAGTCAATGGGTGAACCTGTAGGGCCGGTGTGTCGAACGCCCCCTGCCACCTCTTAGCATCCCCAAGAGGGCCAGCAGAAGGGCAGTAAGAGGTGGCAGGGGGGCAGCGCATCGAACGCAGCTGCAGCAGCACATAACGTGTCACCATTTCCGCATTGGAGGTGCTGGCTCCGGAGCAGTGCTTGTCAATGGATGAACCTGCAGGGCCGGCCGGCGCCTTGAACGCTCCCCTGCCACCTCTTAGTGCCCCTCTGCCGGCCCCCTTGGGGACACTAAGAGGTGGCAGGGGGGCGTTTGAGGCACTGGCCAGCCCTGCAGTTTCACCCATTGACTAGCACCACTCTGGATCCAGCGCCTCCAATGCGGCAGCATGTTGGGAAATGCCACTGCAACCGCTTTCTGTCTGTCTGTCTGTCCATCTATCCATCCATCCATCCATCCAAAAGGTCTGTCTGTTTGCTTGCCTGCCTGCCTGTCTGTCTGTCTGTATCTCTCTCTCTCTCTCTCTCTCCATCCATCCATCCATCCATCCATGTTAGAAGAGCCGGCCCCGCAGGCACATCGGGAAAGTAGAGCAAAGCCAGTCTGAGAGGGAGGGAAGGAGGGAGGGAGGGAGAGAGAGAGAGAGAGAGAGAGACCTGATGCATCAGATTGAATGAGGCCTAGTTTAGACTGAGGCCCTTTTCCACATTGAAACATCTTTGCCAGCACATTGAAACTTCTTTGGCTTCTATTAAAGGTTTTGTGGACGAAACATGGTCAAGACTAGCAGGAAACTCACATTTTGTTGAGGCTTTAAACAGGATCCATTGGACCAGATCTCCACCCTAAAAATTACTTTTCCCTAATGTATTACAGTGCCGATTCTGAAGAAGGAAAAACCAAAATGTACTAGTAAATTACAAGGAGAACACACACACACACACCCTTCTAACCCTGCTGGAGCAGGTCTTCACACAAAAAGAAACTATCTCACAAAAAGAAGCTATCTCAACCCACCAAAAATATAACAGCAAAAAACAGACCAGAAATAAAAGTTAAAATAAGCAAAAAAATAGTAAGAGAACACCTGTATGATCTTGACAAACACAAATCACCGGGGCCTGATGGATTACATCCCAGAGTATTAAAGGAGCTGGCAGAGGTCATCTCAGAACCACTGCACCATATCTTTCAAAAATTCTGGAGCACCGGACAACTACCAGAGGACTGGAAGAGAACTGATGTGGTTCCCATCTTCAAAAAAGCAGGGGGGGTGGGGGGAACAGACCCAGGAAACTATAGACCAGTCAGCCTAACATCAATACCCGGGAAGATACTGGAAAAGATAATTAAAAAACAGATCTGCCAACATCTAGAAACAAGTAAAGTAATAACTAGCAGTCAGCACGGGTTTGTTAAGAACAGATCATGCCAAACCAATCTTATTTCATTCTTCAACATAGTGACTAAATTAGTAGACAAGAAAAATACTGTGGACATAATATTCTTAGATTTCAGCAAGGCCTTCGATAAAGCAGACCACAACCTACTTCTTGGTAAGCTAGAAAAAAGTGGAATAGATGGCCATTTGAGGAACCACACCAATTACAATTTTAGCATTCCCTTAAAGAGACAGTATTAAATGTCTATCCTGGTTTATATATTTCCAATTGATAGTCGGTGACTATCAATTCCTAACTAGAGCCTATTCTGAACAGCATTCCTGAACAACACCAGGCTCAGACCCGAATTGTGGACAACACTTAGACTTCTGATCCAGAGATTATTGAATAAGAATAAAAAGCCAGGAGATTCAGCTGCGGCCTATGCCTTAGCTTGAACTTCAGATGGCATGTTATGTAGCTAAATATGATTTTAATCACAGCTACTCCTTTTAGATAAACATTATGCAAATTCTTTTCCAGGGAAAGGGATCAGAAAGGGATCTTTTCATTAAACATAAGCCATTAAAATTAATGTAAACTAGTTTCTTTTTCGGCTAAAATATCTTTACAGTTTTGGATTATGCATCTAATATCAGGAAACAGTTTTGGATTATGCATCTAATATCAGGAAACAGTATTATTACTAATAATAATTTATTAAATTTATATGTTGCCCCATTCCTAGCAACACTGAGCAGTTTAGAATTGTTAAAAAAGGTTAAAACAAGGGACAACAACATTAAATCTACAAAAAGAGCACAAGATAAAAGAAAGTAATGGCAAAGGAAAAAAAAAGAGGGGAAAGAAAGGAAGAGAGGGGTGTCTTCTGGCTTGGGCAAAAAGGCAGGACAGTAAGGCCCTATGAAATATCAGTAGGATGGGATCCATTTGAATTGAGAGAACCTCATTCCAGAGGTACTTCTATAGAGAAGATGCACTTCTGGGGTCCAAACAGATGGAATTGTTTAATCAGTGGAACCTGGAACATGCCAACCCTGCTAGATTGAAGTAGTCTGAGCAGATACTGTGAGCGATACTTGGTCTGTTAAATAACTAAGCCCTGTGCCATGTAGGACTTTATAAAATGCGACCAGCACCTTGATTTGCATTTTGCAAATTCAAAAGAATTCATCTTGTAAAGGTGTTCCTTTTCTGTAAAAGAAAACTACCCAACTCTATATCTGGAGAGGAACTCTACACAGTGCTACAGCCTTATTTGGTATTCGATTAATGTATGTCTTATTACATGTTCACTGTATGTACATTTTGAATTCCTTCATAGGAACTTCATATTGAAGATAGC